CATAAATCCCACAAGAGAAGCAATTTCCTCCTTTCTGTCTTAATCAATGGGTAACATGAAAAACATATTTACTGGCAAATTCCAGGCTCCAGGTCCATAAATTAATCAGCAAAACCTAGCAGAGAAATGGGTATCACAGGCAGCTAGGGTAAAGGACATGAAGAACACAGACATCTGTCATTACTGAAAGTTTTCCTGCTGTGACAGAGCACAGACACATCTGTCTGGAAGAGATACATCATGACCCAAATGTTTTTGGCCCAGGACCAAATACACTTTATTTAATAGATAAAAGAGGCCATATCAGACGTCATCCTCTGACTTGTTAGTTGGGTGTAACAGTACAGAATCTAGCAGACATCCTAGCAATCCTAGTCAGGATTAGGCTGAAACACATATAAAGCAAACCAAATGGGTTCTTCAGATTAAGGTCAGATAAAAATGCCAGTGTGGCCAGCCAGTACAGAAATCTATCTACAGAAATTATATAAGCACAGAAATTTATTGCAGTATATCAGCCTTTTACTGTTTTTAAGAAATCAGTGCCATGGTTGCAATGTCACTTGGGAAGCAGAAGTCTAAAATCATCCTCTGCCTAGAAGAGGATGAAATGTGTGGTTTGCCATCTCCCATATGCGTATGTTTGAAATTACAACAGACTACTGAAAATAAATTATTAATTACAGTGAAATGCCTTAAAAATACTGAGATACATTTTCTCAAATTTAAATCACTAATAAGACAGCCTGTAATACAATGCAAGGGCATAAATCTCATGCTTACAAATGCATCAACGGGGACCTCTGGATTCAAGTTGCTGAATAGGTTTACCAGCTTCTTAGCACACTAGTACTTTGCTGCTGTTTGGTCTTAAATGAGATCCCTGTAACACACTTGCTGTACAGTTAATGTGCACAGATAGTCATAGCTAGAGTACCTAGTCCTGAAAAAGGTGATGCAGGTGAGTATTAGTTGGAAGTACCAACTTGAGAGAGCAGCTGCACCATGAAATGCCAGCAGTGGCTCACCAGGGCTGTGTCATATCCGGGGCTGTGTCAGAAATGAAGGAAGTTATGCTCAGCAGCCTGCTCTCCCTCTGGTTTGGAGGGAGCTGGACTATTATTGTCTTCTGGCTTATCTGGTTAGGTGTCTTATCCGCATAAAGCAGGGAACAGAGATGTGAAAAACACCTCCTGCTCTTGGGTTTTGTCCTCAAACAGAACAGGGTCCGCAATAAACAGTGTCTGAAGTGCCTGGGATAGTATGGTTCTAGCGGGAAAGGAAGAGACTGGAAAGGTTTCTGAAATCCAGTGTAACACAGTTACTCTGTATCTCAGTCTCCCACCCAGCAGTTCCATGCTGAACTGACTGAAGACCTCAAATACACAGTACAACCACCACCTTGCTAATTGCTCACCCCACTTCCCAGATTTCACACACTTCTGCATCCACTGCCATAAAACCTTCACTTGCCTTCCACAATATTTTCCCTTTCACAATAACCCTGGGTAGTTCCTGGGAAGATTTCCCCAATGTTGCTGTGCAAGTTACTGGGTGAGATCCAGAGGCACCACGTGCCATGGCCCACTGACATCTGTACAGCCAACCATTGCCTCATGCCAAAGGCCCTGCACTACACAGCTCCTCTGTGTGCTTCCTGTGTGTTCCAGACACCCCACGGAGTAGGAAACACTGCCTGCTTGGAGTGAGCAATGCCACCACAAACCAAATGGATTCTGGTGAATACTGAAGACTCAGAAGCCAAAGGCTGAAACACAGCATATCCTGGTTATTTGTGGGAATGGCAGTTTGTCCCCATTCATCAGCTCCCGAATCCTTCTGGTCAAAAACTCCATTAAGTTACTGCAGTCCCAATCTGCTTTGCCACAAAACAGCAGGGAAGCTCACTCACTGCACTCCACTGCCAGCTGAGCCTTTTTTGTGTCAAGCAAAACTCCAGACTCATCAATATGTACATTTGTAGGATGCAATATACTGACCTTCCACCAATTTGACTGTTGTGCTGCCTTAAACTCATAAATAAAATAAAGGACAGACTTCAATTACACTAGCATTTAAACAAAGAAAGTGATTCAGTCAGTACATGAACATTCTCCTGCCACATCCACAGCTGGGGACTCAGGTTCTGGAGGTAATATTTGATTCTTACAGACAGGCCAAGCAGAGGTCTTCTCACAACTGTATTCCCTATAGCCATAGGTGTTTCACATCCTGCTGGCTTTTTGTTGTTGTTGGTTTGGTTTTCTTGTGTGGATTTTTTTTGTTGTTGTTGTTGTTGTTCTTTTCTTTCTTCCACAGCAAATTCTTCAAGGAATATGTTGTGAAATACTACACAAAAGCCCCCAGTTTGCATTTAGCCATAGGTTAAACTGATGCGTTGTGACACTGCCATGGAGGGGCCATTATCCCCTAGTAATCATCTGTCGTTCTTAATCATATACTGACAAGTTAAAAATCTAATATGTTGTGACAAAACTGTGCAAGTGGATAACTGCAGAGTAAGCTGTTTGTCAGCCTGGAACAACACACTGGTCAGGATGCTGAGCTTCAGAAAGCCACACTGAATTTTCACCGTGAGGAAAGTTATTTGCAAGTTAAAAAGTGAGTAAAGTTGGGGTTTTCCAACTCCCTTCAGATGGAAAGGTAGCCAAACTATCTAATTAAGCCATAAGGAACCCACCTCCACTTTCAGTAGTTTCACTATTTTGCTACTATTACAAGATTGGCAAACATCATTAATAATCTTACCAGTAAGTATTTTCATGTGTGCTGGAAGATCTGAACAGATGCATTTAAGAAAACATTTAACTTACCTCTGGAATAGCTCTAGGAAGTATTTTTTCTTTTTTTTTTTTTAAACATTGAAGCAATTGTTCTTCATTCCTGGAAAACCTGGGACTCTACAGATTTTTGTAGCAAAAAAACCATGAACTGCAGTTACAGTCTTCAATTGGAGACTGATATGACTACCAGTCCCAACCTATTATAATAATAATAAAAATATAACATCATTTATTATAATAATAATAAAATATAACATCATAGTTTCCAGTATCTCTTTTAACCTCAAACATAATGTAAAAATATATCTGAAACTTGCTCCTGAGGCGAGTCTAGAACAGTTGAACAAGTAACAGTTAGAAAAAGGACAGTAGGTGAATTAGACCCTGGTCAGCAGGAGAAAACCCTGTCTTATAGGAAGATAGCATTACCTCTCTAAGGTTAGAAGAAGGAAACATTCACAAAAATTCACATTTTCAGCATCCAAAATACTTGTGAACTTTAAATGGAAAAACACGATAGACACAGAAAGAATATCCTCAAGCGGATAATGCTAAATATGTCATCAAAAGTTGACATTCTTGGCCAGACTGTGATTAAAAAAAGGAACTCAACACCACTGATCATTTTTAGAGGCCAAAGATTCAGCAAGATTCAATGAGAAAGCAGACAGATACAGGAACAGAGAAGGCTGGAGTGCCAGCACACAGAGACCACCCAAGCACCAACAGTGTAGCTGGCTATTCAAGGCCAGCCAGTTAACAAAAGGTGTGAAGAACACTTGAGGGAACTTCAGCAGAGGCTCATCCTCAAACAGCTCTATTGGGGGTTCTCTGCAAAGGCACCCTTTTTCTCTGCTTTAAAGCTGGGGCTCTCACCCTGGTCCTTGCCTGAGCTGTGCCACAGCCAGGCACCCCATTGATTCAGGTCCTGGCCAACTTCCCAGTGTGGCTGTGGGCTGGCCTCAGCACTGTGCACTTGGCTGGCAATCACTGATCCTGGTCACTATGCCCAAACCTGATTATGATCTGTGATCCTGACTCAGTTTCCCAGCTTGACATCAGACCTACTCTTTCCACAGCAGATTTCCTTCGTGTTCTGGCCCCTGGCTGAACTCAGCTACCCTCACGGGCACTGTTTGCCTCACTTGGGGTCCATGGCTGGAAAAGCCACAGCTTCTACTGGCCTCCCTTCTCTGAGGGAACAGCTTTGCCCTTGCTGCACACTGGCATTGAGCTACAACAGTTGAAGTTAGCAACAAGCATTAGCTGAGAAACAAAACAGCATGCTAGAGCTTTTTAAAAGTTCATCATTTCTAGGGAATGGAATGCTGAAGTTGTGCAAACTTAGAAGTTTTGCAAACTGCCACATCTATACCACCGACATGGATCTGCTGAAGCTTCTCTTCATTTAGTGCTACCTACTCCCAGACATGATACCTGATTTCCTTAGGCTAAAATCTCAGTCCACAGTAATACTGTTTCCCTCTTTCTGCTACAGACTACTCAGAAGCTCACACATCAATACTGCAAGTTCTGCTGAGGTATATTTTCCTTGACATCTTTGTCATTGCTGATTGATTTGCACAGAATTAGCTGACTAGTGTTTAGTCAGTTAATAACCATCATAACGCATGAAGAGAACATTGTGTTGATTCAAATTAAAAAAAAAAAACAACCATAAATCAGTTCATACAATCCAATTCCATGTGCAGTCCCCAGAACAGATCACCAACAATCTCCTGCTATAACTCCAAATGCCACCCTTTTTATCTTAGTAGTATTCTCCTCACAAAACACCCTGTCACCTAGAAACCCAGTACCATTTGAGCATAGGGATAAATTCCACCCCTTTTTATTCTTGTCCTTGTTCTATATTTTCACTGTTAAAAGTCTGAAGTATGGGATAACTGAATTATGCTTACTTGACAAAGGTAAACAAGAATTTATAACCAGCAAAAAGATTCAGCCAAAACAATCTGAACTGAAGGCCATACGTTCTTTAAGCACTCTCCTGTATTTGTTTTGAAGTATCCTACTGCTTCCAGAATGCAAAGCCCCAACAGCAGTTTTTTCCCCCTGTGATGCTGCATCTCAGAAGAGAAGTACCATCACCAGATATGAGTTAGCTAAAACCCAGAACACAAAAAGAAAATATATTTGAGACACCACATATCACTTTCTTCTGTAGGCACGACATTATTTTTTACAGAAAATAAAAACCAACCATTTTTATTGACTGTACTGTAGATATCTGTACAGAGTGTAAACTTTAATATTTCACCAGATATGTGAATACTTCTGGAGAAAGAGTTATCAAGCACCTTCATTTCAACAAATTTTTGATATTTACAGTAAGCCATACCTGATTAGGTGTATGAATAGAATGAATTAAAAGTTATAAAAAGTTATACAAAAAATCTTTAAAATGTTTATATGTTTTGTTATTTTATGATAAATATACAATTAAAGAGGAAGATGTCACACAGTTAAGACTCAGAATTGGCTCTGTTTAAAACTGTCACTGTCGTGTTTGAAGAGGGAGTGAGGAAATGGGGACATTAGCTTACTGCTCTGATCATGACACACAGTGAAATGTGCTCTGGCAGGAGCCTCACAAGCCCTGTTTTGTTCTGCCACAGGTTGGTTTGCAGGCAAGCTTCCTTCCCACCACACAGAGGGGAAACCAAACTTCACTTCCAGATTTATTCTGCTAATTTGACATATAAATGCATATAAGTATGCATTTAGATTTCCCCTCTCCAAACTTACTGATGATGATGAAAACATCAACTTCACTTTGATTTTCAGAACACTATATTTGCTGTTACTGAACACTGGCACAAGGCATCACCATATTTTTTTTCTTTTAAGCACCAGACCAGAGATGAGCTTTCTGAAAATCAGATTTCAATTGCCATGGTTTCTTATGGTCTATAAAAAGGCATGGCATGGTTTGATAAAGAAGAAAGATTGCTAAGATAGAATTCAGAGACCACTTTGAGGCTTATAGGATCAAACATAGAAATACTATTTTAAAACCTCTCAGAAAACAAATGTGACTATCTCTTTAAAACCACTTGTCTCCCAATGAATCAACATCCATTCTTTGATGGCCTATCAGCAATTGTTCAAAATATCTAAATTTTGTTTAGTGGATTTTAGGGAACTACTCAGGAATCCACCTCAAACAGAAGAAAGATAAATCTCTTAAAACCTAACAAAAACTTCAAACATACCCACTAAACAGTGTTGATTATCTATAACAAATCGTGTGCTGTAGAAAAGAGTCACATGAGCCAGGGTGAGAATTATAATTCTTACAACACACGGATAAAGTACTTCTGTAGTACAGAAGCCAAAAGTTGAGATTCAAGTTTTTGAAGTGGAAGGACTGGTAGTGAGATGGAACGTGCTTGGGCAGTAAATATGTGCTGTTACTGGGTATTCCCTCTCATCTGTTCAACCTTGGGACCCCTGATTATTTCTCAGCTAGAGATAAGTCCTGCCACATGGGCTAACCATACCACTTCTGCAGAAAACTGCTGCTCACTCCAAGGTACAATTCAGTCTCAGGATCTGAGTAGTTCCATTCTTGTTACTCTGTTCCGTGTTTTGTTAGTTCAATTTTGCCAAGAGAAACATCCTCCTTGTCTGGGGCAGATGCAACTAAGGCCTCCACATTTACCTTTAAAAGCAAAGAGATAATTTTACAAGGAATAGGGTGAATTTGGATCCAACCTGGGCAGCTCTGTCTTACTTAACTGCTACAAAACCAGCCTCTGTGTGTGTGTGTGTGCGTGCGTGTGTGTCTGCATAGGTGCATTGTGGCTTGCTGTCAGCAGCATGCAGCACTTATCTTTAGGGCCTGATTGTGTTGATAGGAGTGAATTGTTTACAGCACATTTCCAAAAGGTGTCTGCTGCTCTAAAGCTTATTTTAATGCTCAGTTTCTTTCTATACAATCTACTCCAACTGTGTTGTCAGGGCAGCGGCAGGTACGGCCTCCTGGGGTAGCCAAGCAGAGATGAGTACAGCCACCATTATTCACTGTACAGTAGTTATGTCCTGCAAAAAAAACCAGAGATGCAAAACCTTAGATAAAAACAAATGCAAACCCACAATAAAATCTGAAACAGACATGTTCAAGAGGCATTAAGATGTATGACTACACTAGGGAAACAAGCCATAATGAGATTAGGAGGGGAAGAAAACTATGCTTTGGGGAGATAAGAGTCACCGTATCCCTTGTGTCAACTTGACATTCACATGAAAGAAAGAACAAGATATCAGAGTGAAAGAGGCAACATGAATCAAGCAGGCTGTTCCTAAAATACCCTCCATAAACTGGCCACATGGTCACAGATATTAGAATGAAGAGGAGTGAGTAAATAGAGAAGTGCAATGTGGGGACAAAGTCCAAAATCCTACAGAACATCATCCTCAAATACCAAAAGACAGAGGAATGATCCATGAAAACAAACACAAATGAACTGGATGAACTGGGTGGTTGGGAAAGTGTTAACATTAAAGAGTGAAATGAAAGAGAAGCCAGAGCCAGAAGCAATGGATCAGAGAGGAAAGTCATCCATCCAGAAAACCACTTGAAACAGACATAAGACATAGAAAGAAATTACACCAAGATTCTGAAAATTATAGGTATAAGCATATACTCAGAGCACACAATATTGTTAAATTTTACACTCTCTACCAAAATGGATCAGTGAATTAACTAGTAAAAACAATATAACTGATTTCTTAATTATGACATTTGTATGTATTTTTAAGTTCTGAGCCAAAACCTCCACTAAATTGTTTTTTATTGCATATATTGAGTAATTTGAAGAGAATCTATTCTAAGGGGTTTTTTTAGTCTCAAAGTAAAATATCACAACTCCTATAATTCCAGCCGTATTGCAATAAAAAACAGTAAATGCTTCTGTGATTTGCTAAGAACAATATAACTGCACAGTGATACTGCTTCACAAAAACCAAGTTATAGTTCAAGGGTATCAGCTTCCTCTCTTCCTCTTTTCAATAGCATATCTAGAAAACTTCACATTCAACAGAGCAGGAGGGCCAGCTCAGTCCAGCCACACTACCACCTGCTGTTTTCTGAGCATTCCATTTTGAAAAACACTGGATCTTATTAAAGTCATCTGGAAGACCATAATATTTCTGTAGTTTAAATTTAATAACTGAATAAAGCCCTAGTCATGAATAAAGCATTCAATTTAGAAGATGATACATTAGCATTTCTGCCAGGTCAGATGCCCATCTTAATCATACACATCCTTTCACAAAGGGTAGAACAGACCCCTTCTCCCCTTCTATTCCTGGTTTCATGTGGGAACTACACAACTGCTTTAATGGAAAATAAACTAGGGGGCTTTTAATTCCTTACTAAACAGAAATCTAAGCACTAACCCAAATCTTCACTACCCAAATGGGTAGGTTGGCAGCTTATAAATGTGAATTGCTACTAAGTTCATTTATACAGTAAAGTGTTATACAGCTGTAAAAACTCAAGAATCATCTGGATTACCTCCTGGGCACTGAGCAAAGGCTGTGGTGATTCCGTAGAGTCGTGAGCGCTTGTGAGGCTGGAAGTTATCATTTTCTAATGAAATCGTGCGATCCACTGCTACGACAGCATCCCTGCCACACGCAGAAGAAAATAGACAGAAGTGAGATGAAGGTGAAAGTATAGGGAAAAACAAAACAACACAACAAAAAGCCCCCCCTCCCCCCCAAACAACAAAAACCCAACCAACCAGTCAAAAAAACAAAACAACACCAAAAGTGGAGAAAATTTGAAGTTGCTTCTTTTTTATAATTAGGAAGATATACCAGAAGTAAAATCCCCCAAGACATCACCTTTCCTGGACAAACTAGTATGTGATGACCTTCACTCTAGGCAGCTAAGAAATTTATCAGGGAGACACCTTAATATTTTTGAAGGTACTTCCAGTACAGGACAGTGTCCTTCTACAGGAGTGATGCATGTGTTGGTAGTTTTGGCACATTTTTCACATTCTGCCCCTCTGACAAGTATTGTGGTATAGCTGACATTGCAGCAATTAAGCATAACAATTATGGAAAACGATGTGTTTTAGCTGGAGCCTGATCTCCAGAAGGAATACAGCTAGTCACAAGCAATCCTTCCTTCCTTCCTAAGTATAAAAGGGCAGTCAAGTGACAGACCTGTAGCACGCTGTTCCTCAAGCCTGTTCTAGAATAGCACCTCCCAGATGTTAGTTTCTTACTTGCAAATTCTCACACAGTAATAGCTACTACTGCTGCTGCAATTGATAGAGGCATTTGGGTAAGAGTTTGCTGATAGAGCCCATAAAACCATTTACATCAAGTAAAAATATTTATTTTAAAATGCAGGGACTGGATTTTTTTCCCAGAAGTTAAAGCAAACCTCTAAGTCTTATTCATATGGCAACATTTTAGAGCATTTACAATAAAGAAAGTGTCATCAAGACAGTGAACTTTTTTTCCTTATTTTTGATTAAACACTCAAAAATATAGGGCATAGAAAGCTAAGAGTGATGAAATGTCTGCCCTCTACAATGCAGCTGCTGTAAGAGAAACAAGTTACTGCCCACTCCTTTCCCAAGAATGTTCAGTGTTAAAAGCATTTTCTTCAAGGACAAATCACTATGCTAAAAAATGAAGACTCAGTTAACTGGCAGCATCAATAGGTCAACTCTACATAACCACTCCACCCTGCATCAGCTATTGCCAGAAAAGCAACAAAACACGAATGTGTGCGAGGTCAAGCATGAGAAATGTAGTATATACTTCAGCTTCTACCAGGGAGAAAAAAAAGATAAAAGTACTCCATAATTTCCTTAGCAAATAACATACCTTCTCCAGTCTGTATAGTATAAATTCTTCCCATAACTTGTAACACCAAAAGGATACTGAATCCCTTCAACAATCTTTCGTCTACCAAGCTGATTAGGGTTCATGCATTCCAGCCTCTTGGTACCTGGATGTAGTGAAACAATTAAGCCTTTGAATCAGAACAAGAGAGCTCTCATCAGGGATGAAAGACAAGCACAAATATGCAAGCATGAACAGGGTGGAAAGTCCTGGAAATCTTGGAGTGTGCTGCTTAGTCAAAGCCTTCCCCCATGTCACATGTGTGCATGTGCCAAAAACTGAACATGTACTGAATGTACATGAATGACTGTATGAACAAATACTCCAGAGCTAATTCTACTCAGCACACCACTGATGCTAAAGAAACACAGATGTCCCATGCAGCCATGACCAATGCTCACAAGCTGAGATTCCTGCTATGGATTCCAGAATCCTCAGGTTGGTGTGGAAGAGAGAAAGTAACTAGATAGCAGAAGGAGATATATTTCAAGGTTAGAGAAAAGAGAGCTTTATCATTTTAATTTATCCAAAATTTGAAAGGTGACTTGAAGTGTAAAAACACCTCCACAGGAAGACATCCCTGCCAGAATCTACAGGGTGAAAGACAGCAAGATCCCAAAAGATAAAAATTAAATGAGAATTAAAAGCACACTTTCCCCCCACCACCCACTGTCATAAAACTAACAATGAGTTTGTGGCAGAACTTTGATCCTTTGATCTTTTGTGTGCTTTGCTTTTTCAAGACTTGCTTCCACCAAATATAAGCCAGACTTGGCCTCAGGTTACAGGCCTTAAAACAATAGTGCCAGGATGACATTCTGTAAGGCAGATTAGATATATCTGTGGTTTTACCTGGTCTTAAACCAAGAGCTTCTAGAAAGCCCTAAGCACTACCTAAAAAGTTAGCCACATACAAGACACATAGACATAGATCTGTTCCATTTCTAGAAAGTTTTGTCATCAGAATTGAAATCCCTCAGCTTGCACACAGTCTCATGTGAATAGCAATGAATAAATCATTAAAGCCAGAAGCTATGGCTGTGCATAATTTCAGGATTGGACATACTTACACTACTACTATTACAAAGAAATATTTTAGCTCTCCTTTACCTGCATCTACCCAGCACAGCATTGAGGAATAAGGATCAAATGTCAGTCCATTTGGTAACCCAAGATCATCTTTAACAAGAATTCTTCTGTTTGTGCCATCCATATATGAAGTTTCAATTTTAGGAGCTTCTCTGTTCCAGTCAGTCCAGTACAAGTTTCTTAGGAAGAAGAAAAAGGCTAGAGTTATGACAGGGACTTATCTCAAAAATTGTTGTAATTAAGAAAGTGCTAAGAACACAAAAGTAACACACAGCCCCTAAATAATTTAAATAAGTAATAAGAGCCATATTGCACTTTGACATAGAAGTCAAAAAAGTGTAGTAAAAGTGTAGCAAATATGCTTCCATTAAAAACAAAAGGAGCAAGCACAGACATAGGAAGAAATGCTTTCCTTTGTTTAGCTTATGATCAAAATGTCAGCCAAAGACAGTACAACAGTTCTGAGGGACATTCAAAATGTACATCCACATTTCGAGTTCTTCATCTCACTTCCCATCATGTCTGCTCAGGCTAAAGCAAGAGTATTTGCATATATTTGGGACCCATTTGAAATTATTTATGTTTTCAGTGTACCAAGTGAGCAACACACAATAGAATCAGAGCAGTTTATCCTCAGCAGAGATCCCCAGAGAGGGCCATTAAGTCTCTGATGTTTTATTATTAATAGCCATTTTTTAGTGGTAGGATTTTTTTCCTTGGATGTACATTCTGTGCCTGAGAATATGCATGGCCCCTCAATGGCAACTTTGTTGTTTACTCCTTAACACACACAAAATTTACTATAAGATGGAAGTCCATGATGCTTGACCTGAACCCAGAGCCTTACTCCATCACTGGGGCTCTGCATGGAACATAGGTCATTAAATAACCAAATAAATAACAACAAGCTTTGCACATGTTTCTTGACAACACATCCATACCCTCTCACAGGATCCAAAACAATTGCTCTGGGGTTCACCAAACCAGTGTCAAAAAGGATGCGACGCTGCCGCCCATCCAGCCTGGCCACTTCTATTCTATCCAGCTGAGAGTCAGTCCAGAAGATGTTGCGACCTAGATGATCTACAGCTATCCCTTCAGGGCTTCCCAAGTCTGCAGGAGGACAGAGAAAAACATTCCTAGGCATTATATTTATTCCCAATACACTCTGCCAGCCTCAGTGCTGCATAAGGATAACCTTTAAGAGAGATAAGTTTTCTTCAGTGTTCTGACTGTGGTCCAACAAAAGCTACTTTATATCAATTGGAAGAGGAACATGCATTTTACATCAAAGTTTAAATACACGAAACTCTCATAAAGACCTAAAATGAAAATGGCGGAACAAACTCACCACACAAAGAAGTTGTACTTGGAGGAGCAAACATAGAAGAAGTTTATAACAGAGAAAGTAAAGCAGATTATTCTACCATACTTAGAAGGCCATAAAATGGATTTTATAACCCTTAATAATTCTCCTTCTTTAGTACCAGCATACACAGCACCCCTCTGACAACTGAATTTATGCTAAGTGATGCAACAATTAAACAAATCAAACTCTAAAGACTAGTGACAATGACATTAAGTAACTGATGCAATCTAGATCCAGTTCTTCGTTTCTGCAGAGCTATTCTTTTTGGAACACACTTTAGCACAGCATGAGCACAGTTTTTCTTGGACAGTTACTTGTTCCAAAAGCAACAGGAAATAGCAGATAATGACCTTAATGCTCTAGCATCAGTAATTTCTAACTTGGATGCAGGATGCAGAAAAAAAAAAAATAAAGCTTAATTCAGCCACTATGAGAAACTGCTCTGTTTTTTCCAAGGTTCCATTGAAAAAGAGCAGGCAGGCCATGAGGAATTTAAGGAAGCCAAAGACAAGTTAAAAAAAAAGTCTATTTTCATTCAATTTCAGTTCCAAAAGGAAAGAATTGTACACTTGTACACAGTCACTCCCCAAAAGAAGCAAAGTGACCCTTTATACCAGCCAGCTGTTGAAAAAAAGCACCTTTCAGATGCTGATCCACACACCGAATGGAATGTAGCCCATTAGCCTTCTTTTAATTCCTAGGTTTATTCACTGACAGCCATTAAACAAACATTATGTGACACAAGCAACCTTTCTGGAGAAGAAGCACTTGGCCCAGAACATCGGAACATAGGGCTCTCTAGACTTTACTACTGTGATGTTGCTGTAACAGTTGCACAATAGTTCAAGCATCCTCTGCTCTCCCACTCAAGTGGATTGCACTTTATCTGCACACATGACATTTTAAGTTTATATTAATTGCTGAAGAGGTGGAAAGGAACAAACAAGATGTATCTCATTGTTTCTGACTCACAGCTCATGGCTGGAGGGGAGGGGTGATGGGCAAGAAAGTAAATTTTAATCAGGCATTTGTTTACTCCCCCTGAGGGCTCTTGGGCACACTTTGACTCAGTGGCACTGACTTCACATGGATGGCCTTTATTTCTCTAAGTGCTTCTGTGGAGCTAAACCTGTCAGCTGCAAGAAACCAGCTCACATATACTTCAGACCCTCAAATGTTCCTTCTTCTTTCCTTGCTAATGGCAGAGTCTGCTGAGGGTGGCCTCATTTTGAGGTGACAGTGGCAACAGTCCCCAGTGTTTGGGATCAGAAGATTACTGACTAAATGGCAATGGAGGAACTCCCAGACTCTTTTAGGAAACAGAACACAGTAGCAGGCAAAAGATTTGCTGTCACTGATTCCCAGGAGCCCCTGCTCCTTGACTAGTTTCCTTGTTTCAATTTCCTTATGTCAGCTATATGTAGGAGATTTAGAGAAGTCTTAAAGTAAATGTGCCTTCTGTGTGGTTGATAATGAGCCAGAAAAAACTATCCCCCATGGAGGGAGGGGTAAGGGAATATTCAATTTCAAAGCTTCATTTATCACCAGCCTTTCCAGAGGCACAAATATGTTCCTGCTATATTGTCATCAAGCCTGATACAGTCACAGGCTCTGTCCCTGAGGGCAGGTTTGTACAGACTTTAAGCAATTACTGCAGAGGAAAGCTCTGCCTCCTAACCTGCTGCCACAGCTGCAGTGCTGAGAAAGCCTCCACAGCTGCAGGGATGAAGGAGAACTGGATGGGCTCCACAATTTAACAGTGTTTCTGCAAAGCAGCACAACTTGGATCACAAGAGCTTTATAAAAAACTAACGAAAAATGTAGTACATTCCACAAAAATATGCATGAACTGAAGAAAGCAGCTGGAGCTCACAGGAGGAAGAAGCCAAAGATCAAAACAAAACAAAAAAAAATCTCAAGTCTTCTGAGGGGGAGGCATTTTCACATTTAATGAAATCTGAAAGTTTCAGTTTTGGCCTGCATATAGAAGATAAGCATTCGAATGTTGAATATTTTTGATCTGAATCCTTATTGAAAGGTCCATTAACATACAAAAAACTAAAGTGCAACATCTCTCCCAGACTCTTCAGGAAAAGCAACCACATCCTATGCAACCAACAGAACAACAGAATGAGAAAGCTTCATACATACAATATTTTTCATAGCAGACAAAACTCATGAGGTTTCCATGTGGCATTGAAACATCTTTCATTACCTTAAATAATCAATCAAATTTAGCTGAAAGACTTCACAAATAATTTTCCAACATTTTACACATTGCAAGAATTTTAATGCCTACACACACTATCATTAGACAGACATTCATATCCATAGAGAGTTTTTAGCAATAGTAACTTTCCTCTTTTTTAAAAGCTCAGATTCTGAAAAAAATCATTAAAGCAAAAATCTTTTCCCTGCAGAGTTTTTAAGTTGCACAGGCAAGCACAGGATTGCACTGCAGGTTAGAATCCCTTTCATATTAAATACGTTGGGAAGGAAAAAGAAGTCTTACAAAATACCAGCAAGTCGTATAAAAATATGAAACTCCATAACTGCTGGAATGGTTAGGGATGGACTTAAGCTCTCGCTTTTTCCTTCCTAGGACAATGGCCGGACTGAAGTCACCCCCATTCATCTGTTGTCCCTAAGAGCCTGAATGGAGTCTCACAAACTGACTATTCCAAAGCACAAAGTCCAGGCAGTGATTCTCTACACATCCAAAGAAAATTAAACCAGATTTTTTGTAAGTTTTATAAATGGCTGATCATTTTTATAAAACATTTTCATAAGTTTTTGCAACAATGTCTGCCCAGGATTCACAGCAAAGGTGACCTCTTCCAATATCCTGACTTCACAGGTGTTCTAGGATCTTGAGGGCATTAGTATTTAAAATGTGCCTCCAGCTACTTCTGATGATTTGTTTTAATGACACCACCCCCAACCACTCACTTTGTTCTCTAAACCTGTCCTTCCCCTTAGCCCTTTCCACCCAATAACAGGGTTTAACATCCAAGATGCATGCGCTTGCACTTAACCCTTCTAATGAAAACTAACATGGACTGCAGTGAGCAGCGGTCTTGAAGGAAAAAATGTAAGAACAAGATAAAAATGTAAGAACTGGATAAGCACTAACTCCACAATACCCTCTAGTCTAATTCTCAAATCCTTGAACAACTACAAAGAGTAAAAACCAAACAAGGTGGCATTACTCACTTTCCATGTTACAACTAGAGTGGCAGGCATGGGAAAACCACAGCTGAAATGGTTTCTAACAACTTTTCAGCTGTTTGATCCCCAGGCCAAGGAAGAGAGAGCAGGAGTTCTCTTCAGCCTCCATACTCACCAATCCTTTCTCAGCAGAGCAGGCAGCTGACAGATATAGTTCAGAAGAGAAAAAAAATACTACATGTCACAAAATCTCAGCTATCCAGCACCTACCTTGCTTGGCAGAACAAAAATCAAAGACACCCTCCGCTGGTATTCTATGTTAATATCTAAACATAACTCTTAGTCAGCTCAGGCAACACCTAGGAAGTACATATTACTAAATTCAAGTCTAATACCATTCCTAGAGAAAGAGTTTTGTGCTGTTACCTGTTTTGATTATGGTTGTTGGCTCGCCACCATGCAGGCTGGCCCTGCTGATGGAAGGGCCACTGATGTCTGTCCAATAAACGATCTTGTCCACGCAGTCATAGGCAACTCCAATAACAACTTTGTCCTATTGGACAACAGGCAAGTTAGATCAGATTAGGATAAACTACAGTTACTCATCAGCAGCATTAACTTATGTTTTTAAGTCTCAAGCCTGAAGAAACAAAATTCTTGAGGAAAGGTGGGAAATGGGGAGGAGAGGCCAAGAAAATCATTGGGTAACAGCCATTGTCAAATATCTTAAAAAAATGCTTCCAGTTTAAAGTCCCTTTTAACTATCAGACATCATTCACCATTATTTCAAAGATGATACACTGAAAAGTTTGCCTGACTTCTATAGCTTCACCTGTATACCCCCTAAGAAAGTTCATATTGACATTTTACTGTGTCACCCCTTCATGTACCTTTTTCCTCTCATTCTTTCCCTTTAAGGGGGAATAATGACTTTCAGCAAATCTGGCTTGCACTGACATCCAAGTCAAGCAGTATGGCTACACTTCCTATGTAGCACCATTTGACTCTAAAAAGTTCTAGCAAAGTAAGGTTTTAAAACAAAAGTTAGCTTAAACAAGTACTACATAAATCATTGTGGTGGAAAGAATATTCTCAGTAACAAGGAACATTTACATGCAATTTTTCAGGCAGAAAGAAGATAGGACTAGAATGTGAGTTTAAAGTTCAAACTCCCTCTCCCAGGCAAATCAAAAGGACTATCAGGGTAATGCAACAATTGCATATGGATGCCCAAGTTTGTCACTGTTGTTGCTTTTGCAACACAGCTGCTTAGAAAGATGTTCCAAACCATGAATTAAAACAGATGCACTTATTCAACACTGAGCATTAATTCTGTGGGTTGCAAAACAGTATAAACACCTCTGGTACCACTTTGCAAATACACAGCACAGACAATACAAAGTCAACAATGCTAGCAGAGACCAAAAGTTTCCTTTCAATTGAAAGTTTCAGGAAAGAATTGTATCTTCTCTTGGAAGCTCTTTCCTCAAGATACTTATAATTAATTAATTAAAGTTAGATCAAGTAAATAATGAGACTAGGTGACAAGTATTCAGAATCATGTCACCTTCAGCCTTATTATACAATTTTTTTATACTGCATTTTAATTTTTTTAATGTTATTGCAGCAGAACTTTACATAAGGGACAAAACCTTGATTTTGACCTTACATCACAGCAATTTATGGTACTATTTAATGAAGTGAATCTGTGTAATTTAGCCAGTATTTGATTTACTAATTACTCAGCATAATATATAAGAAAAAAAAAAAAGAGGATCAGCATGCTACTTGATATTGCCATCTATTATAAATAAATCAACACTGGAATGAAACCAGAAATCCTAGGCCTTGGGCAAAACAAATGAATGTGATGATACTGCCTGTGAAAAGGGCTCGCATGTGACGCAGGTGGTGGAAAAGAGAGGTTCTCAGCATCAGGAATTCATTTTCTAGGAAAAAAGATTCTCAAGATGGTAGTAAGAAGCATGGGAAAAAGATCTACCACCCACTGGGCTTACACATGAGATAGGAAGCAAAAAAAAAGAAGAAAGAAAAATATATGTGTAGCCAAAAGTGGAGGCAACTGACTGAAGAAAAACAGGCTTAGGAAAAAAAACAAGACTTAGGAAAAAGCTTTGAGGGAGTAGGAACGGAAAAAAGTGCCTCTCCACCTACTGATATTGTAGGTCTCCTAAACTTTTATACCAGAGTCAGAAAGTCAATAGAAGTGTGAATAGACAGTAGTTTATATGAAGGGCTGCTGGAGGCATGTGAGATTAGATTTTTGTCTTATGATCTATTGTGAGGTATTCTTTAAAAGGAAATAATTTTTTTTTTCTATACCTTAGGATTAAGATTTTTTGACAAGTCAGATCAGGAATTTCCAGTATCAAATTGGTGGGATAATGAAATTTTAATGAAGTGTAACAATTGTGTTTTCAACTTCTATTATCGAGGTATGCAAACAAACAGTAGCTTTCATCTTTGTCAGGAAATCTTCTAAAAAACATGGACTTAGTATAATAAATTACTTACTGGAATATGCAAGAGTGCTTTTGCACCATTTTTCTTCATATTGTTTCCCTCTAGTGGAACATGTTCAATTTTACCACTTTGGGCAAAAAGCAAGTGCGTTCCTGGTGGCAGAGGTACTGTGTCTGGTCGAACAGAGGGCCCAATAACAACAGGGGGAGCAGCTGTGCTCAGACCTTGTTAACAGAGAAGGAAACAGATGGGCAAAAAATTAACTTGTACAGCACAACAAGGTTCCTTGTTATTTGCAGAGACACAATTACAGTCAGACTTCTTAGAAGGAAACAGCCCTATAAGCAGACATTAATAACTATAATCAGATGCAGAAAGCTTCTGAAATTTTCCCCTTGGCTGACAGAGAAGGAGCAATTGACATAATAGGTCTTTTCATGTTTGCTCTTTGCTTCAAATGTTTAAAAAAATCTATCTTATTTTGCAGCTGAAGTGAGGAAGACGTAGGAAGGAACATCCTTAATTTCCTGAGGCAAGGCAGCTGTTACAGCTCCCAGAGGGCAGAGACTCTCTGAGCCTCTCACCATTTCAAGGCAAAGAAGAAGCTAGAAAACCTTCTTATTCAGAAGCTTACCACAGCTGTCCAGATGCCCTGGCTGAAGGAAAAGTGTGTGTTGGGGGTCACTGAAGACCACCAGACATACCACCACTGGGACAGCAGAAATCTGCATTGCTCCAAGACAGTGCTGTATCTCAGGGAAGGACTAAGCCCCATATTTGGGAGACACTGCACTCAAATGGAGAGATACCCACAAGAAACAATTGCTTCAGCCACTTACATGGTGGTCGAACTCCTGGACCACTTCTGGTGCCATCAATCTCATTTCCATCCCTATCCACACACCAGCAATACCCACTGCCAGCATGGCACTGAGTGGGTAGGTAATTCCCATGCTCATCACACTGGGGAATGAAGTGACCAACTCTTACATCCCTCGGGAAGAAAGCACCTCCACTGCCAAGAGCTACTTCACGTTCATGCTGGCATTTGGTCTTTTCTGCTTCTGGGGAAAAAAACAACAGAACAAAACAAACCCCAGTGAATATTTCTGTTTTAGCTAATAACTACAGTCCATTAACAGTTAACATATGCTGACCACCTATAGACAAGAATTTTTACCTCTAGTGGAACATGGCACCATTCCAAACCTTGAAGGCATGTGACTTCAGAACAACTTCAATGAGCCTCCCTATGTAAGTGTGACACATTTGCCTGAAACTTATCTTTCACTGCCTAGTTTAAAAGAGAACAAGTCCCCTGCATTTTCCTTCATAAAGGGTCATAAACAGAAGCTTGAAAACATGGTTGTTCTCCTTGAAGCAGATGAGCAAGAACATTCTGTCTGACTTTTGACCCTGATGTCTACTCACTGGCAATTATCCATGGGCCATAAAATGAGACTAATTAAACAGACCCTACAGTGGCTGAAGGTTTTTTAGTACTGCTCAAAGTTGTGCAAAGAGATTCCCTTCAAAGCCACAAGAGAAAACCACAAAATGAGGCAGATGCCAAATTCTCTACAGATCTTAAGAGGTGAAGGAATTCATTTTAAAGTTCAGTTCTGAAGTTTGAGCACTCATTTGATTCTTCTAGATCTAAGAAAGAAATTGCAGGGACAGGTTGTCCACTCACTGCTGAAGCACAGAGAAACACACCATGCACATTGGCTACATCACATGCACTTATATTACTGCAGAGACTACAAAGGAAAGAAACTTTTTGGATGTCAGATCAGGACATTCAGGGATCTGGCTCTTTATGTTTCAATTTCACAAAATAGTCTGAACTAAAATTTACACCTTCTTATTATATTATCTATCATGCAGTAGGGAAAGTCATCTGGATCAATATATCTATGAAATTAAAATAATACAATAAAAATAATATATTTCCTTCTCCAGATAAAGAAATATGGTTTGGTTTTATCACAAACTTGAGATCCCTGGGAGAGAAAGATGTAATTATGGGAGAATACCCTTTCCCTGTCAATGATTTCTACAGACATTTAGAAATACTTAGCACAAACTGTCTGCTGAGGAGTCTTTAATAATCCAGTCTCCATTTTTTGTTTCTTATCTCTGAATCAAGATCAGGATTACTATGCTTACAGCTAAGAGGCACCTAAAGAAACCTGAATTGAAACAGTCCAGTGTTGTAGCTTGTGCAACAATGAAGGCACAATAATATTGGATACAGATGACAGTGGGTTGGGATAAATAGTCTGCTTACTCTGCTTATACTGCCATACCTTTTACTTAGTGAGGTTAGGAGAAGATGCTCTGATTTCACAAGATTTAAATTGCATTAATTAACTCTCTGAAATTAGTTTAGCTATGACAGAGTTTGAAAGATCAGATTGACAGGACAAATAAAGCACTTTTTCTGCCCTGATGAGCTAACAGCACAAGCTAGACAAAATGAGTAACAAGAAAGGGCACATACTTAGGTAGCACAAGAGCTACTTCTTAAGCCAGCATCCAAACACAAACCTCAGAGCCAGTAAGTTTCCTCTATACAGCAGCCTGAACGTGGTGTGTTAGTGAGCCTGCCTTAACATAAATACTGTAGTATTTCATCCAGTCAAGGCTCTTCAAAAATACAGAATAATTAGGATTAGGAGAGTTCTCTGAACTCCTAATTGGCATGAAGAAACAGTCCATTAAACTCAACTGGTAGTGCCAGGAGCAAATAACACCCACCTGGTGTAACGGTGCTGTTACACCTACTACTGCACCTGATTGTGGCAAATGAAAAACAAGCCATGCCTGTTTCAAGGCTCCATATACAGGGTAATTAGCCCTGACTTTTGGGGGTTCTTACCAGTCTTGAAAACCATATTTGAAAGGCAAAGCAAATTATATGTCAATGATGATAAAAATGATTACACCAGTTCATTCTGCCGGAGATGAAACAACCAGTAAAAGCAGGACCTAGGTAATCGTTGGTGATGAAAAACAGCAAGGGGAACATCAGCTTTTCATTAACAGTAGGTTCAAGTTACAATATTTTTCAGTGTATGCATTTAAATATTACCAATCAGCATTGGGTGTAAAATCAAGTAAAACCCCATCCTCATTGCGTTTTGGTTCAATTAATGCTTGACTCCAGAAGGTAATACACTGACCTAATAGCTTCGTGTTTTCCTGTGGCACTCTATTTATGCCTACAGGACTGTATAATTTTTGAAACTAAGCACTTAAGTTGAAAAATAATTAAAAACTGAAAGAAATAATCTGAGTCAGAAGTCAAATGTCACGAAGTAGTGGTATCTTTGGTAAATTCCCATATTGCCTTAGTATTGCTTGTAAATCTCCCTATGAAGAAATTTAATTCCATCATTTGCATTCCAGAGGAAGATATACAACCATAGGTTGCATCTTTTGTGGAAGTGAAACAGGCCACATGAGAAGGATAGGATGTAAATGTAGAGTCATGCTTCTTGGAATAAACTGTGTAGACAAGCCTCTAAAGTTAGATTAATCTTTGAAATTACAACCTGAAAAAGCTATCAGCAGATCACAGCTCAGCTCTGTAGGGACATTTAGAAATACTTAGCACAAACTGTCTGCTGAAGAGTCTTTAACACTACACTTCCATTTACTCCTTTCCTTGTTTTGACACTGCCAAGATTAGGACAGGATTAGTTTTGTGAGAGGGTATAAAACAGAATTCAGCATATATACAGGCATAGAGAAGAGTATGAGACTGGGGAGATGATTCAATAAATACTGCATCCAGCTCTGGCAACCACAGCTCAAAAGAACAGTGAGAAATTGAATGAGTGTGCAGAAAAACGCTCCTAAGACAGAAGCTGTAGAGCAGAACACAGAACTAAGGTGCAATGAAGAATTTGTGTCCTGTGGAACACAGTATAAGTCAGACTAGATACACAGAATGGTGCATCCTGAACTCCAGCTAAATTATCCTTCTTCAGAAGACTCAATTTGTATTTGATGAGTATTAAACTTTTTTTTTTCACTTGATTCATGAATTACTAGAAGAAATCTGGAATTTAAAAGTCACTGAAATAGATTATGGAATTTGTAAAAATGAAAATGGAAGTAGCATAAATATGGAAAGATGAGATGAAAAACATACACGTACACATTTCTTACATACGTGGAGAAAGAAACAGAATGGATAAAAAAACAAATTAAAGCCATATACAAATATTCAAGGAAGTTTTCAGCCATAGCATATTGCTCTTGTAGCAGCAATGTAGAAAATTATTTATGCATTGCTCTTAAAAAAGATGGAAGGTGAAAAAAAGGATGAGAAACTGAGATGTTCGGACTTCTCTTATTCAAAGACTTATATTAACATTTTTAATTGCTGTCCCCAGATGCTGGAGAAAAAAAAATTAAAAACCCGAATAAAAAAGCTTCCCTTTGTCCCTTCATTTTCCTTTGTAATTCCTCACTTACAGTCTTGTCCTGGTAAGTGTATTTCTCATGTGAAATCGGTTGCACACAGATGATCAGAGAATAGTTCTTAACAGTTCCTAGTTCCAAGAATCCAGACTCGTTTCTGTTTAGTAAACAGTGTCTGGGGTCTGCAGGGGTAGAAACACTCAGACATCTGTTTTTTTTGAAATGGAAAAATGAAGCGTGAGGAAATAATGAAGTACAGACTTTCTTAATAGCTGGGAGCAGCAGGACATTCCAGCATCATTAACTCTTTCATTAACCTGCTGGTTCACTCCTACAGACGTTCCCATGTCTGTGACTCAAATCCATTTTTCTCATTAGACTACTTGTTTCAAGAGTTGCCATTGAGATTTAACAGTAGGTTTCATATAATAAAGACACCAAACAAGCAAGTAATTGTACACATGGGCTGGAACAGAGAACAGCAAAGAGAACTGAGTATTTCAATGAATGAAACTTTCCATGCTATTAACAACCAGGAAAAACTTCAGTTACTATGCTGAGGCTTATTAGATCAAAACCTTAGTGGGTAAAAAGTGAATACAATACAGCTTTAGTCTGCAATCTCCATTCTGAAGCAACTTACTTTACAAATCGAATGGGGGAAAGGGTCTCTAATTAGAGCTGAATACAATACAGCTGTAGTCTGCAATCTCCATTCTGAAGCAACTTACTTTACAAATCGAATGCTAGAGTAAACTAAACCACTTTTGTGAGGTTTCAGAAATTATAGTTTCTTTCTGTCCCTGGCAATGATTAACTGATGGATCTATCCATTCTAGAAGCACTTAAGCTTTAGCAGCAGATGACACCCCAAGGGCAGCTATTGTTCTATTAACTCTAAGAAGGGAGCAATCGCTAAGTTGTAAACATTGCCCCTGCTGCAGACTAGCTCAGCAACACAGATACTTTGTACTTCAGTCACAATTCAGCAAAAAAGTGAGACTTCTTATCTAATCAGATTTTTTTTTTTTTTTTTTTTTTTTTTTTTCTAAAAACAGCAAAAAGTGAGACTTCTTATCTAATCAGATATTTTTTTTTTTTTTTTTTTTTTTTTTTTTACTGCTCAAAACATTTAATGAGAGGAGATAATTGATATCGTGTTTCTAAAAGCCTGGCTTCTATTGGTAATACAAAACTGTATTAAAAAGAGTATCAGTGAGGCATATATGAAGACTGACAAAGCCTAGCAGATCTCCACCCACCAAAAGAGTATATACAAAACTCTTAGAAATATTTTGTTACTGCTATTAAAATTGTGACATGGAAAAATTCCTATTTCAGACAATTGTGTTGAGCACAGAAAGTGAAAAAGTGTTCAGGAAAAGTAGGAAATAAAGTAACTACAAAATAATACCATGTGCTTAGCAGTTGAGTAGACACACTAAACACCGCATAAGAAAAGGTGTTAAGAATAATAAAACAACCCTCCTACTTAAGTAAATCATTACATATACTCAGAAGAAATTAATTGCGTCCCTGTAATAAAGTTAATTGGTTGATTGCAAATATCAGTCTACCAAACCACCTGTTTCATCTACAAAGGGCATGTGGCAGACATGAAAGCAATATTTTTGCCTCTACATTTCTGCCTGAAGAGCTGGAAGCTTTAAGGTTTGATCTGCTTCAAGTTATTCACATCAAGTTTCTCCTCCAGGAGAAATAATTTTGTTTTTATCAGCTGGATAGTTAGCTAAATATTTTGACACAGGTCATAAACACCAGTTAGTTCCTCATTCATCTAGCACTAAAATGAAAATACACATGGGTGATTGTGCATGAAATGTTAGTTAAAAATAATATTAAAAGACTGACTAAGTGGTGAAAGCTATGCCTCAGAATTAAACACTTGAAAGCCTCCTGAAATTTACCTGTCATATAAAACCTCAAGCACTGGGTGATTTCACATAACATGTTACTGTGCAAATGGTGAAATGTCATGTAAATATGATCTAAAACTAGAATCAACTTTGTGATTTTTTTTTCTTTCCTCTGTGAAATCCTTTGCTTTTTGGTTTCAAAAGCTCAGCATCCAATTGGGGGAAAAAATGTCAGAAATTTAGAATTAGGGAATATAGAGACAAAATAAAAATGTTAAGTCTCAGGTAGTAATATCATGCCACACAGCCAAGCACTTTGAAGCAACCACATACACTATTAAATAATGATAAAACAATCCAACCAAAACACCCAAACCCATTCTTTCCTTCTTGCTCTGGGATATTCTTGTTACTCCTGACTGCACAGTTTGAGATTCAGTCTGTTGAGAAATGCCCACCAGCAAGAATCTTCGAGAAAGAAGAATTTGGTCTGAATATACTGAGAAGTTAGGGTTTATTTCCTGGCTGAAAGATTCACCATCTACAAAACCTGAGAGATGTCCCATAAGTTTGCCATGCTGTTGAATTAAAGTAAAATAATAACACTACTTTGTGCTCCAATGTTCCTTCCTCTTTCTTTTTTTTTTTTTTTTTTTTTGGCACACCTTTGAGATGAGTTTTATACTTCAAGCCTCAAAGTACAATGGAGAAATAGAAGTGTGAGGACAAAGAACTTCCTCCTAAATAGAGAATAAACTGGATAAATACAGAAACAAGTAAGTGCCAGCTGGAAACTGAAGTCTTTCTTGAACACAGGCTGTATGTGGCATGCAGGCATCTAGATCTTACTACAGACAAGAGCCTTGTGAGTTTGGTCTCATTTTTCACCTTTCTCCTGTAAATATTGTATTCATTTGCATTGCCAACAATTCCAGATATTTTATGGTAAGTGATTGCTGAGTATGCAAACCAAATCACCCCCACGGTCAAACCTTTACACAAGGCAACTTCAAAAGATAGTATCAGCCTGGGGCTGAAAACTGCTGGGAATAGAATAAACAAAACATAAAATGGGACATTGAACAGGATATAATGAAAAAGTGATAGCAGTCAAGATACAGTTTTGACACAAGCTTGGTAAAGTCCTAAACTTGAAAGACTTGAGAAGCATAAAGACACCACTGTGGAAGCAGGCACTGTGTTTCAAAAAGGAACCAAATTAAGATATATATCCTCCAAATCCCAAATTATATTTCTGGCCCAACTTTCAAGAACTATAGAATTTTACCTCCTAACACACATCGGAAACCATCCCCACGATAACCTGCCTTGCAGTGGCAGCTGAAGGACCCAGGAGTATTGTAGCAGAAAGCATCTGGATGACAGTGGCCCTGTTGACATTCATCTACATCTGTAAAAGAAAAGATCAATCTCAGGTGACTGCTCCTTCTGATGGACAAATCAGAGTGATGAAATAAAGTACAAACCTGTCACATTTTCAGGCTCCTATTTTAGGGTATCAGATTAGACATACAGACAGTTATTTGGATATACATCTAGTACAGAAATGCAAGGGAGATAAAAAAAAGGAGCCAAAGAAGGGGAAGGGGAAGCATGCCTGTATTTTAGGTTCTCTGTCTCAGCAAATCCCAGGATTCTCCTATTCTAACGGGTAATAAACATTATTAACTCACACATTATTTTAGACACATATTTCCTGAAGAAATGACTTAACATAGCAAGAGAAGTAGGATTTGACTAGTCATATTTCCAATATGTAATTAGGTAAAGCTCCCCCACTGCACTTAGACTGACACGAAACAGAATGCAATTTTTTTTTTACATAATTATAGCATTTTGTTTCACCACCTTAGTAATTTAAACCAATACAAACAAACAGTTTGCAAACAGTTGCAGCAGACAAAGGTCTGCAGCTGCAACTACTGCAATTCCTGCAGCTATCTCATCTTGAACCTTCTATGAATCAAACATTGAAGAGTAAATTCAAAAGCGAGAGGAGGAAAAGAGAAATGCTTAATGAAAATTCCTGCCTGGGGGACTCAGACTATGACATTTCCTACTTGAAAGAACATGTAGGTATAGAACATGACAAAGACCAGCCCAGAAGTGCAGTGCAGAGTATAAAAGCCCCACAATAAATGGCGCTACCCACCCTCACAGGCTCGCCCATCTCCAGAGAAGCCAGGGAGGCAGGTGCAGATGTAGGCTGACCCTCCAGTGTACACACACTGAGCACGCTGAGGAATGTCACAGTTGTGTGTGCCCCTCAGGCAATGGTTCACCTCGTGCTCCACAGCTGCAGGTTAAACGTGTAAGAGAGCAGATGAAACTCTGAACTTTCCTTCACAAAGTCTAAGCCTCATAGTAAGTTCATGCAAGAGAACAACATCTGTGAAAGATTACAGAAGAGAAAGGAAACAAGGAACTGAGGGTTTTTTGCTCTGGGGATTAGGATTTTTTTTTTTTCTTTCTGAAATCTCCCCTTTCAGTGGTGTAAAATCTTATTAGTGTTTTACAATGGATTGACTGTCCTCAGCATCTCACAGGTTGCTTGTTAATATAGAATGGGCAGAAAGGCTACCATAGTGACAGATCCTAATATCCCTATCAGCTTTAGTTGTGAAAAGGAGTACTGATTGAAGAAATGTAAGGCATCTCACAGAGCTACCTCACATGCTAGCTAAGCGGCTAGTTCACTGCATTGGGAATTCTTTGTATGACCTGCTACACTAACCTAGTACTGACCCAAGGCTGCTGTCACTTGGCAACAAATAGGAGCTGTGACTCACTCAGTGGGAGATAAACACATTTGTCAACTACTGGAGAGATCGGGGACCAGACCTGCAGCTTTTCATAACTCTCTCATGTTGACAGCTGTGGCTCTGAAGGCACTGCACTACTTTGCACATAAATTGTTTCACGAAGCTGCTGGAGCTCTACCTGTACTTACCTATTACATCAGAGAACAGGGAAGGAAACTACGGGACTTGAAATAGGAAGAGGTAAAATACTACAAAAAATTCTGGGCTTGAAAATAGGGTGTGCAGTGTGTACATCTAGGAACATAGTTCCAGCTGTTCTAACAGAGGCTGCTGTAACACTGAGGCTGTCTTTACACGAGCAATTATGACAATTGACAGGGGGCCAAGACAAGAATCTGCAATGTTCATTTCATCACAGCACACAGATGGAAACTACCACAGTGTCAGCAGGGAAATAACAAAAATCTTCTATCAGAGCCATATCTGAAAACACTATTTTTTTCTGTTTCTCTGAAGGAAATGACATCATTGTTAGAATCATTAATATCTTTATTTGATGAAGTAAGTTTTGGATCAAAAGGTAATGTATTAAAACCAGTATTATAAATACATATGGTAAGAGTTGGAGCTCAAAGGGAGTCTCCAAGTCTTTCTGTTTCTCATCCTACAAATAGGAGGACAAGATTTATTTACAACTCTCTTATAAAGCTACTCAGTGAATCACACAGCTGGTATGAAAAAAAGTGCTGGTTCCAAAGGAGCTGAGTCAGAACTGGTATCCCAGAGCAATTTGCAAAAGCACAGAGGGTTGCTGTTGCCCCTTCTGGGGTTCAAATTCTTGGTAGGTTATAAGACCCTCTACTGTGAAAAGATTACCATTACATTTATTTTCAATCTGTTGGGAAACTAGGGTTTATCTTCTATCTCTTCAGCCTTAAAAATGCAATTTGTTTTTGGTTGAAGGAAGGGATCAAACTGAAATCCTTCAAGCTGGACAAGGAATTACTTAGCACTTGCTAAAAGTGGAACATCAGCTTCATGGGAAAGTGGTAGAGTGAAGCTGGTGAGGTCATGGCTGGAGGGAAGAATGTTCCCTTTCAGGTCCAAGTCACAAAAGTTCAGTGTTGGACATAATGGAAGGAACATAAAGCTGCTCTTCCACATCTCACTCTATCCCTTCCAGTGGCCTTGGTAGAAGGAGCTACTTTTTCTGACTGTTCTGCAACAAAGAGACTTAGGGTGCACTGTGACTTAGGGAACAGACATGAATTGTAATTCTTACTGGAACACAGAAATTTGGCTCGTGACAGAGTGTAATACACAGCATGCAAAGTCACAAACTCAAGGAAAGTAATGCAACTCTCTGCTGTAAGATGAAGGCTCCTCAGTCTTTGCTGAAGAACAGTCTTGGTGATGATGAGCAGTGACCTGGATGCATTAGCTGATCAAAGGGTAGCTAAACTTCCACCACAAAGCTGTCACAGCAGAAGCAAAAAAATCCTAGCTGTTATCACTTCTTTCCAAAAGAAAGAGGAACTTCCTGCCATACTGGAAATATAAGGCTTCCAGGCACACTGGAAGAATGTGTATAGGTTTTGTTGGTACAGAAATACTGTCAGGTTGCAAAGATAAAAATTCTAACAAGAAAAAAAAATCTTATCTCCAACCTATCCTGACAGTTGCAGCTCTAGAGGTAGAGTCATTATTCCTTTTTTGTTATTTGTCATTATCCCTCCTCTATCTACCATTTGTGGATTCCTTTTTCCAAAAGGAATTTCTACAACTTTAGTGAAAAATGGCACAAAGAGGAGCAAGAAAAGATATCCCTTGTTAGGACAACCTTTGTCTAGCAAGTAGAGATTAACTCGGGCTTCCTCCAGAAAAAAGTTTTTAAATTACAGAAAAATAAACTAGTTCAACCGAATTTGATATTTAATGGTCCATTAAAACGAGCTACAAGCCAAATTACAAAGATTTGAACAGTGAAGTGATCTGCAGCTACAACTCCTTTTCATCATGATAAATTACCACTTAAGAATAAGACTGCAATAGCCAACACACACTGGTTTAGAGCTGTGCACTATCTTGTCCAAGGGATGAATTTGTAACTGAAATTTAATCTGTTAAATTGAACTGTGGATTAAGAAGCAAAATGCAAACCCCCAAAAAGTCAAAAACACAGCACTTAGAAAATGTGGAAAAACTCAGTAGTCATGAGCTGCAGCACAAATTCCTGAGCTCTACTCACACTAGAAATCAGCACAGATTATGAAGCACTGTTTTTTCTCCCAAAGGCTGGTGGGAAACACTTTTCAGAAACATGAAACTCACCAACACAAGTCTGCCCATCTGCTGCAAACTGGTATCCCCCAACACACTCGCAGCGGTAGGTTCCCGGCTGGTTGTTGCAGTCTGCATTGCTGCCACACAGCCCTGGCTGCTCTGAACACTCATCAATATCTAGGGTATTAAAAGGATCTTGGTTATTATAAAAATGCATTTGATATGGATGCCAGAAATCAGAAACTTGGGAACTTAGATTAATAGCAGCCTTCTGTACTCAGGCCACAGATAGGATAGACCATACCTCTTCAGAGATATTAATAACCTGAAAATAATTTTTGAGGTAACTGTGTCCTCAGCTAATCTGCACCAAAAAGAAGAAAACAAACCAGAAGTTCTATCATAGGGTAATAAGGGGATGCCATGGAAAATTGCAGAAGAAAGAGAAGCCAAAGAAAATGCAGCCTTAGGTGATCAGAAGCAATAACTACTGGGGGAGCATGAACTCTAGGAAAGGCTTCCTTCCCCTTTCATTATCCATAGACATCTCTAATCCACTGCTGCCCAACTCACAGCATCAGAGGACTGTAAGGGATAGTGTGATGCTGTTGTTTTCATTTGCAATTTGATTTAAGGGTTGGAGTGGGAGGAGAGTTGTGCTTTGGGTTTTAAAAGCCCCCAAACTTTTAATAGGGATGTAGTTAATAGGGATGACACAATTCATTAACACACATTTTCAGCTCTTGAAAATGAGTATTAGTGCTGTGATTTGATTGCAAGGCAAAACCCAAATACACTAGCAATACAGAGCTAGACAGAACTGGGAAATATGAGTCTTTTGGAATAGAAATGGATTTTCAAAGTAGATAATGAAAAAGATTATTCCAATGAATTGCACATATCTGTGCTCTGTCTGCATGTGCATTTCCTATTTCTCATTTCCCTTGAGATCTTTTAAGCTAGTTGATTCATTTTAACCAGAACTAGCATTATAGTAAATTTCTCACAACTACATTCCCACGTGTTTTATAAAAAGATGAACTGGGTGGGAAAGATTCTTTGCAAGATAAGAAAACACACTTTTCAAGACAGTCAAACTTACTTACTTTGATTATTGAGATAATCAAACCCAGCACCCCTCTAACCTTAAAATCAGCCGCTCAGGGCAGCTCATTTTGCTGAAACGGCTAGTCCTGAGGGTCAATATACACCAAGAAAAATAAATTCTACATAAGTTTTCATTTTGCAATGTATTGAAGTCTTCTGATACCATAACAAACAGTTCCATCTCCACGGAAGCCGATCGAACATTCACAGAAGAAACGATTCCCAGTTCCCGGACGGCACACGGCGTTGGTGTCACAGTTGTGAGTGCCAGTGTAGCAAGGATTCCGGTTAATATCAGCAGAACCATCTGGCAAGAGAGACCATATTTAGCCTTGATGACTCTGTCCAAGTAATAGCACCCAGTTAAGGCCAGGAAGGAGGTTGCTCATAACACACATTAAACAAGGAAACACTTTTTTTGCATCAGGAAGAAAGGGCCTTGCAAGTGATATTTTAGATATGTGTTTAATAGCACTTGTATTCCTTGTTACTTGTACAAAGGACTACTGAGTTAAAAAAGAGCCACAAAAACAAAAAACTCTCTAAAGAACAAAACAAAGAAAATTAATTTTCCAGTCACTGACAAAAGACTCAAAACATGATTCCTAACAGCATGGTTTCTTAATTTAATTAGCAGAACTTTATTTTGTAACAAACAAAAGTGAGCACAGCCTTGTTTTATACGCATTTGGTGTACGTTTTCAAATTGTCCCTTTGCTTTCTTTCTGATATCAGTGAAAGCTTGGATAGTTCATCCAAGAAAATACCTTTCATAAGCAGCCTACAATTCAAAGATAAAATGTCATGTTTCATGACAAATTATAGAAACTCATCCATGGTAAATCTCATTCCCCTCTTTTGCTCTTTTCTCTGACAATGCCCTTCCCAAAAAATTAATAGAGGAATTATAAATTAGGTAAAGATAAACAACATACTCCATGCATCCAAGTGGGAATAGATTCAAGGTGGTGTATTGAGAGTATTTCAAAGAATTAGACATAAACCCCAGTGAATTTCAAGAACAGAGCATCACTTAAATACTCTTTCTCAAGTCAAAATACAAATTTTCAACAGTTCCATTTCTCTCCTTCACTGGTGAATCTGGACTGCTACCAAATAATCAAATTAATTCATTTAACTGATTAACACCCAGCTAAGGCAAGGTAAAAAAAATGGATGACTGCCCTTAATTGCTTACAAAAGAGAAAAGCAAAATGTGCAATTGATACATACCACTGATGGGGCCGATGGAATTGCTCATGGCATATCGCAGGATCTGCTCGTCTCTGTTGTACAGGACAAACACACTGTCCACCGAGAGCTGCTGAGTGGCAGGAGCAGAATGGGGGGACTCATCGTGGATGCATTCATCAAAGGAGATGGTCTGGCGCCACTGATAGGCACCCGTGTACGTGGAAGCCACTCCATCCCTTTCTGGCTCTGTCACCGTGTACTCCCTCGAGGACGATGAAGTGATCACTGCGACACGACAGCAAACACACTGATCAGAGCAGGGACCAAAAACATCCTGTCAAATGTTATCTGGAAACATGGGATGCAGTCTGTGTAGTGCAAATGGGAATTTTAAAGGCTGGAGGCTGTGAAAGTGGATGTATTTCCATGCAAAGGAACAAGCACTTAAGCACACTTTCTATTTTCTCAGGTATCACAGAATTTATTTCAAAAATTAGCAATTTTATTTATTTTGACACATTAAAAAAATTTAACTTTACTTTCTGGATTTCCAAATAATGAAAGGAAAATTCAACTCGGCAAACTCAGATGTTCCTTTAGTTTCCTTTTTAGATCTCCAAGCTAAGCACAACAGTCATCTCACCTGCCTAAGCTACACCCACTTTTAGTTCTTTGTAGGCTATTAGTCTTGGATTTTAACAGAGCCCTGAAGAAGCTGCATTTATGAGAGCTGCTGCTTCACAACAGTTTTCTGTATTGTGAAAAATTGTGAATAAAACTCTTCAAAAAGATCTGGGCTTGTGGATCCTCCCACTAACAGAAAGGTCCTCAGTACACCACAATTCTTTGTTTGGACACCAGAACATACCTATACCCATCCACTTGCAGCAGCAGGCTAAAGCTGGATTTCTGCCAAGTCCATTAGATATGCCATAGGACAGCAGAATTGCAGCTGTTTGAGTCCTGGTAAATCAAATCCAGCCTGAAGGACACCTCCCTCTAGCCTCTGACTTTACAGGAGCAGTATTTCTGCCAAGTAGGCAACTATTCTGTAGAGCAGACACTGCCCAAATTCTCAGCTTGTTCAGGACAAAGCAGAAGCTTCCTGCTGCTTCCACTTTCTCCTCCTCCCAGTCCAAAACAACAGGCAAAGCACAAGCGGGTTCATCACTGGCTACCAAACTCAGACATTAGTGAACATAAGGCAGTGATGATGTAACCACACAATTTTCTAGCTCTAGCAACCAAAAGTGCACTCTTGGAGAAAAGTGCAGTGTCTCCAGAATTCATGTGCACATGGGTGCAGCACAGGCTGCTTCATCTGTACTATTCATGCCTTTGACAGCTGGGCTGGCTGGCCAGCAGCAGCACTCCAACCTCACTTCTCTACCTTTTGTATTGAAACACACATAATTTTATCTAGGAAGAGGAAAGAAAAATAATTAAGCAAAACAAGATTGCCCTGCAAATAGTGAATGAAGAATGGTTCCATTAGGAAACCTACGATCTGTGATAAAGGAATTGAAAGAGAGGAGTACTGAAGAGACAATGTAGGAAGCTGATGAGGGAATTAAGAGGTAATTCTCCAGCTAGTTGTTAAAATTCAGCTCAAATAATACTGATAAATGCTTTCAGAGTCATTGTGATGAAGTTTACATGAGACAAGGTGGTAAACAATGGGTTTAGTCTCATCAAAGATCACAGTTCACTTAATGACATTACCACAAAAAGTTATACACCAGTATAGGGCTAAAAGAGCTGTGGAGTTACAGAGAAAACCTTTACCACTTGCATACTGCCATCAACAGCATAAAAAAAAGGTCAACAAAAAGGGAAATCAAGAGTGTTTTGCAAACAACGGTTCAGAGAAAGTTAAACCTGTATTTTTTTCAATGAAAAGATTAGAAATATTTGCATTCTCCCACTCAAAATCCACCTTCTTTTGAAACCTTTTCCTAAGGGGTAAAATGCAACTTTCTAAAAGTCAAAGGGTCCTAAATACACTTGTATTTAGGGAAATAAAAAGGGAATAAAAGAATGTTTTTCAGATTGCCTTAGGCTCTGCTTTTTGCACTTTCTTATCATTTCATTCTTATGGAACCTTACCAGAACTAGAAGTGTGGTAGAGTTCAGTGTAGGGCTCTATATGGACTGATGCCCCAGATGGGATCTCAGGTATTCTGCCCTCCATTTCTGTGCTGATGGTGAGGTGACCATGCTCATCAATGCCACTGAACTTCTGCTTTACAACCAGCTTCTCATTGTTGCCAAGAAAAGTTACTTCTGTTTGCCGTGTAAACTCACCACCTAAAGAAAGAGGATTAGTTTAACACTAAACTTAATAGAGGTTTCCAACTCCTTCTATTCCAAATATTGCTTCTGGTACATAAAATATAAATTACTATTGTCTACAAGTTTTGATGCAGCACAATTGCTAATGTCTTATGTTTCTAATGAAATAACTTTCAGAAGTATACTGATAATAGATATTGAAAGTAAATTTTTTTAAGCACTGCACATGATAAATCACAAATCCTTGCCCTGGGGCAATGGTGTTTTAATAAAATTAAAAAGAAGTTCTGACTAAGCTAATAGCAGTAGGCCTTATCCTACCATTTAAAAGGATATTTTAGAGAAAATTCCCATTAGGAGTACAGAGAGTTAAAAAGAAAAAATCAAAATCCAGGACATCTGTTTCCAAATCAAAACCAAACGGAATATATGTTGTAAATTCCAGAACAAGCTCCAAACATACTAAATCCAAGAAAATCCCAACCCAAAAAGTTGTGTTCAACTAAATTCACATTACAAGTCTGTAAAGGATCAAATTTTCAAAAGAAACACATGTTCTCCTAGAACAGATTGAATCTACAGCTTGAATTCACAGCAGCACAACCAACCAGATTTGGCATTAATCTCTTATGAAAAGCTCGAATTGTGAGCAGGGGTTTCCCTCAAACTAGCTAAGAGAGTCATTTGCGTGTCATGCAGCAGCTGTTTCTGTAAAGTGCTTCAGACCCTCAAGAGGTCAGGTTGCCATTTCTTTTTTGCTCTGTTGGTACAATCAGAGATTTAACAAGTAAAATCTCTTGAAGATGTAGGAGAACCTTTTTTTAGTAACTATGTACACTCTAGTAACAACTCTTCCAACAGATCTTTTTAATAATCTCTTTCTTGAGGAGAAACTGGTCAAGCCAATCTTCTCTCTAACACACTTAGTTGTTGTACACTGACAGTAAATTAAAAGGTCTATTGTCTATATATTGTAAACAAGAAAAATGGTGAGAAACTTGATTACAAAAAACCATTTTGCAGCTCAGAATAGATGTGTGTTTTCACCCTATATTGCTTCTAAATACAGATTTCTTTTCTATCAAGACAGAGAAAAGTATAGCAATTTTAAACACTAATTTAGAAGTTACCAGTAATGCTGAATCCATTTTTATATCCTTGCTGTTCCACAGCAAACATCCATCCTATGATACCTCCAATAGAGGCAAGAGGCAGCAAAGAATACCCCAAAGTTTCTGGGATTGTGCTGATAGCAGTGTAGGCACGCCCTTGGTTCATCACAACATAGGAGTGGAGATCAGTGTTCTCAAATATAACTGGAACGGGATTGTTTCCTACAAAGATTCTTCCTCTGACCTTGCCGTTGACTCTCTGAGGAGAACCTGGCAAATCAATACAATGCATCAGAATAAATATCAGTACTCTCACACTTTCCAAGGAACATGGTCCAGAGTGTTCACAATGTTCAGTGTTTAGTGTTAAAATAACTGGCAAACAAATATTCAGAGTTCAGACAAGAAATTGCCATGTGCTTACTTGCTTATGTAGGTACATGCAAGTGTGTTGTCTTATGTGGATGATTAAATGGCCAAATTTGCCTGAAGAGATGCTGTTTATCCTCATTGAAAGTTCTGTCTGCAGGGATAACTTCATAACACTGTTACAGTGTGTCTCACAGTAAGTGGCAGACGGAAACTTAAGATCACACTTCATATCAATACACACAGAATGCAAATTTGTTCATTCCCTATTAGAAGACTAACGCATTAGGCATTAGAATAATTGACTTATTATTCTAACCCATTACATTTCTTGGCTCTGAACTACTGGCCATTTTGAAAACAGTCAGTGTTATACAGAAGTAATTATTTTGGATTGCTAATTTTCTCCTGTATATAATTTCCTACATTGAAGATTAAATTTCATTATCATCAGATCCTTCTTTTCTTGCTATGCAAAATCAATTTTATGAACTGAAAGCTAAGTAGGAGGTTTTGCTTTCCTGGTTTATAAAACACAGTCTTGCAGTAAACTATTTGAGTTGTTGAAATGCATCTGTACTCTGAGCCGAATTACTACAAGGATTACAAGTGTATACATAAGAAATTCCTTCATGGATTTTACACGGGAACAAAGTTTAAATGGGTATTTAACAGAAATCTGTCAAATCACCCTTTAGCAAAGCAGCTTAAGAGTCACAGAGGAGCCTTTGCTCTTTGGTTCACTGATCAAAGTTAATTTGTTCATCACTTTCAACTGTCCATTTCTAGAGTGAGGACTATATCAGATTATAACACGTTGGAACTTCATGGCTAATTCTAGGAAATACCACTGGATGTTATGTTTACTTTTAAATGATGTCACTTACAGAAGAAGTTTATTTTTTCTAGAAAGTCACATTAAAATGCATAAAGCATATAACTGACCACTCAAAATAATTTGTTTCACTCAAAAAAAACATTTCAAAAAGTAGAGCTTACTGATTCAAATGTCTTTCACTATATCTCAATGCTAAGTCTTTCAAAAAATTTTTATCAGGTCTTTTTTGGAATTAAATACAGGTCACCTCATTCAAGAACTCCATATGTAATTGTTGCTTATGTATCTAAATTTCAAACCAGTTACCTTCTGCTACACACTGTCTGCCATTTCCTTTGTAACCAGCAATACAGCTGCAACAAAACCCGTTGGGATAATCCTTGCAAATAGCGTGAACAGAGCACTGGTGACGGTTGTTAGCACACGTCTCTTGGACATCTGTGTGGTAGCGAAACACTGTGGAAAACAAGACCAGACATTCATATTCAATGTAATTACTGTGGTATTCACATATCCCTGGAATAGTTTAAAAATATCTCTGGACTCACTTGATCAGCTTTTCATTATTTCCTTAAGGAAAACAAACTATTGCAATTAATATTGGTTAACCTTGCAAATAACTTTCTACTATTTTGCAGAAAATGTCAGGGCTTCAGCTGTTTAATTATTTAGTTAGAAAACTGTTTAATTCTATTGACTTCAGCAGATCTATATTAACACAGATCAAGTAAAATTCCTGTTGAAACTAAACATACAATAGTTTTAATTTGTCCTTGTTTCCGAATCAAAACAAAAGGGGGACTTAACTTTAGAACAAAACCTTTCAGTATAGTACCCAGGACCATGCAGCAACTGATGCGCCCTGTAATCCTGTTTTACGCTGTTATTTAATGGAGATTGCAATTCTCATACCTGCTTCAAGAAACAAGTAACATCTGGGCAGTCAGTCACACTACTGACTAGAAATGCTTTATTAGAATTTAGAATTGCTAATTTCACCCTTCTAAGAATTGAGGTCATGAAACCCTAGCCAAAAAATTTTATGACAGCTTCCATTCCCAACTTTCTGAGAAAGGTCTGGTAGCTTGACTAGGGAACTGGTTTACTAGACTGGCAAGAACTGCATCTGAGGTGACATCCAAATTAACTACCTCAGTAAATAACACAAACTTATGACAGGTGCCCAGATTTTCAGATATTAAGCTAATGTGAAGGAAACATTGTTTCTTTGATAATTCAATTCCTTTCACATGTCTTTTTTGCAGCCTGTCCATGTTAGAAGAAGCTAAACTGTACAAAAGACCTTACCTATCCCAGTTTCATCAAATTCTTCCACATCTATGACTTGAGGTGGCTGTGGGGGGAATTGCTGAATCCGAAACTGGCGAGGTGGAGCTTTTGCTGTTGGGAAATGTTGAGGACTGTAAAAAGACTCAGTTGAAGGTGTTCCTGTTACATCTTGGTATGAAGTCAGAAAGTCTTCTGCAGCTAACTGAGGAACACTGTATGTGACAAGGTGCTGATCCTCTTCAGTGCTGTCTGTGCTACTTGTGATATACTGCTGTGTTATTTCAGTGGAACCATAGTCAGACATGAAGGGCTTAGAAGTCATCTCCTGGTCTTCTTCGTTGGGCTCTACAGTCTCCAAAATGTTGCTGATTTTGGCAGGCACGATACTGTCAGATGAGCTACCAATGTCAAACACCCAGACACCCTGCTTCCCAGCATTGCTGCTTCTGTCAAAGACAAGCACATGCCAAATAAAGCAAGCTGTGTGGTATTTCTAGCCTACACACAATGTTATCCTTCACTGTGAAGTGTCAGGAAAACCTGTCTCATTATCTTACCTACATTACATACTTACCTATAGGTACAGTTTATTCAGCTGCGGAACACCCCTGACAGTTTGAGTAACATTTTTTCTTCTCCTGACCCAGAGCTCTGTTGAGAATTTCTAGCTCTCTTGTCTCCAAAGCAGTGGGAGCAGAAGGAGATTTTAGGGCCACAAAGATCTTGCTACCACTTACTAAAACTTTCTAACTCATTCCTTTTCCTACTAGTTCACTCTCTCTTTCAAAAACACGAACACACAAAAACAACCTGCCCAGGATACTTTACAAAGAGTTGAAGTCTAAGTGGTACTACTTATAGAAGAACTAAGTATACTGGAATTCCTGCCAGTGATAATGGGAATATGGACTTTTAACAAATTACACCAAAGTCCTCAAGGGGGTGGATATTTATCAGTGGCAAATCTTGTAACTTCTCATGCAGTGGCTAAAGGGATCTTATTAGTTCTCATTGATTCATGCTACAATTAAGAAAACCATGGAACTCTGATGTTTTCTTGAGGAGTTTAAACAAAGAAAAAAACATACTTGTACAGGTTTCTAATGCTGTCTTCATCATTAGCAATGACATTGTAGGATCCTGACTTTTCCCAAAAGTAGTAGTTTGTAGAGGCTTCACTAAAGCCAACTATAGCAGGAATATTTTCATCGTCATTCTTGGAGTATGTGCTATAGAACTGCAAGCCATCTTCTGGATAAAGGAAAATAGCATAGGAACTGGAATCAGAAGAGGCTAAGACAGCCTGGAACGTGTTTCTCTGTGGAAAAAAAAATACACATTTACTCATGTCAAAATAGTTAAGAAAGAGTATTTTTTTATTTTTAAATGCAAAATGAAAGTCAGAATTTTCATTAAAAAGAAAAAAATTACCAAAAGTAAATTACATCTGTAAGAAATAGTCAGATAGGCTGCCCAAAGCATAACAATTTTGAGGTCTGTAATGCTGTAGGATGCTATTTCATCTCTTTCAAATAACAGAAGTGATGTGCTAGACTAAATAAAAAATTCTGTAAACAGAATGTTTAAAGTAAAGTTCAAGCTTCATGTTGCTCAAGTCTTTTCCCACAGGAACACTCCTGCCTACTGTAGGAACCACTAGGACAGCACCTCAGATATCAGCTGTTCATTGCTACCAGGGTGCAGTATTGTTACTATAAACACAATGCTTGAGCCAAGTTCAGCAAAAGAAATTAGTTGTTGCCATAAAAAGCAGTGCTAAGTAATGGTAATGTTCTCATCAACTTTCACAATTATGGTATACAAAGCTACATATCCTTGCAGGATAGTACCTGAATGGTTTAAAAAGGGGAAAATTATTTGTGAATAATAATAAAAATAACCTTTAGCTATTTCTTAACCCAATACTAGCTGCAAAACATGAGCTTTTTCTGATTTATGCAGTATCATCTGTTCAAAATGGGCTTAAGATCCTACTAATCCATATAGTTATCTGATTTTACATAGTTTGATGTCAAAGTGACTTAAGAGTCTTCTGAAAAATGCAAGCCAGCAGGATTACATTTCCCAGAGGGAGGTCAGGATATTCTGGTTCAGTTATTATCCCAACACATTTAACATTCAAAGTAAGAGTCATTAGGAAACACAACTAAATCAGCTATGTAGTTTCAAGCATTATCTTTTGAATTAGTAAAACATTATTAAAATAAATCTCAAGTAAAAGTTCTGGAAACTCCTATTTTGCTGCAGCCTTTTCGACGACGATATATACTCTTAGGTCTGCAGAATTCAAATTAACACAAAGAACTTCAAGCCTTCAAAGCAAAAGGTTACAGCATTACACTTTAGCTGAGCATGTGTCCAACACGACTTAAAGCTCTGATTAACATTCACCTTTTCTTCCAAAGCATGATCTTCTCCTGGTGCCTGGAAAGGAGCCACAAGCTTCCAGGTAACAATAACAACACTGCTGGGTTCAAAAGCAGTCTCAGGAAAACCTCTTTTGATGTAGTCCGATGCAAGTTGCAAGACATCTGAGGATGAATCTTCTCTGTAATACACATTTCCATGTCCATCTGTTGTGTCCAGGTCAGCCATAAAAGGAGCAATAGCCCCAAAACTCACTGGGAATTGACCAAGGTATTTTTCTTCACTTGAGGGTTCATTCACTGCAATAATCCCATTAGTGGTAACCTAATAAAAAGATGAAAATTATAACACAACTGTCTCCCACACAGGTACTCCATATCACAATATTTTAATTTTAATTCAAAAAGAAATTGTATCAAAAATAAAGTTTTGTGTTTAAAAAGTAACTGTGGTTTTTTTTAAGCTTTTAGGTTTTTTTATCCCATGTCAGGAGTCCTGAGATTTCGGTTACCCAAAATCAGAGGTCAACTTTACAGATAGAACAGCCTTTTTTTCCTAGATAAAGATTTTATCTATTTAGATTTCAGACACCTATTGTCTCTTCTAACAAGGATGTACATAAGATTCCCACCAATGCTTCAGAAGGTGATAGAATTTCTGAGCGAAGAATTAATTCACACATAGATGCCAACCCAAAATAACTGCTCCATGCTTATATATGGTAATAGCCTGGATGAAGTCTTTTGGGAAGACACAGATTTCTCTTTGCCTGGCCAGGACTGCTTTAGTATTCACTTCACTACAGCCACCCTCCTAGGAACTTCTTTGCTACTGTGCAAGGCTAACAACAAGCTGCTGCTCACTCTGAAGACATGCTGTGAGAACAGCTCTTATACCAGAGGCTGTAGAGCCTAAGAGACAGAATTTCCACAGCAGATACAGGCCACCCTACGAATTCCTTTACAGCTGAGTGCCCTGACACAGCCCGATAGGAAAATGGGTCTAATACCTGAAGGGGGTTGGGGGAAGGAATTTACATACTTGGTCTGCAAATGCATAGATACTGGCTCAGGGAGATTCAACCCATCAGTGAGATGATGATTCACAGTCAGCCACCTCTGACTAAAAGTGAGATAAATACAAACATCCAGGTGCTAGGTCACATCCAGGTGTGACAGCCAAACTCCACTACAAACCAGAGCTGGCTCTCACACACAGTGAGCAAGACTACAGGTGTCAGGCCTTGAGGCTGTGCACAAAGAGCACACACAGAGTTTTTTGTGCCCAGCCCTTCCACCAGCTGTGTTTGGCACTGACTCAGCCACATACAAATCCACCTCCAAGTACTGGACTGCCTGCTAACAGGACACATCTGATACCTGCAGGGCAGCCAGGCGCTCACTCTAGAGCTGCTGCCACATACACAGGGGACTCAAAATGGGAGAGAGGTCCCAGAACTGTCACCATAAGCTATGAAATTAAAATTGCCATCTCCCGCAGATTTATCTCACTCACAGGGATTCTTGTGAATCCAAGAAGAACAAACTGTTGATGGATCTTTTACACATTCAAGATACTGTCAACATGACAAAATCTTTACAAATGTCTAGAAGTGGGTCAGAATGGCTGCTGACTTAGACTGCAAGGCCACCTAGCCCAGTAGCCTGCCAGCTTAGAGATTCAGCAAAAGAAGAGGACATGCACATACTTCTCCAGTGAGCCTCCAACTGCATCCACCTCAAGGGATTCCCTGTGGTTTGACTGTTTTATCTCAGCGGATGTCTTTCTCATATTTGTTGAGTCTTGTCTTAACACATACAAACTCTATGCATCCACAAAATCCCTTAAAAAGGAACTCCACTAATGTATGAGTCAGGTCTCTCCTACTTTTGTTTGCTTTCAGTCTGGCTTCCCCCTCCATTTGATGGCCCTAATTTTTTGCATTGGGACATAGAAAAATCCTACCCAGTGTCTCCCACTATGTAATTTCTCCTCCAGAATTAAGACCCCCAGCCTATTCATGTACTCCCTGTCAAGAGCTGTTCTCTGTCTTTGATCACTCTTATTTTCTCCACATATTTCTTCACTGTTTTCCACTTGGTAAACAAGGAGGCCAGCAGGAGGCCACACATATTCTTCACAGAGAAATTGTGGTCTGTGCAAGCCCATCAAGGATGCTGGCTACTTGTGCCTTGGCAACATCTTTAAAATCTGGACCACCACTGCTGCTAGACACAGTAAATCAGAAAGAGTAGTATGATACAGATCACTCCTCCATACACAAGAAACACCTATACCTTGAACTCTCCTTTGGCTACCCAGAGGGTCAGAGCATGTCCCCTGACACAGGCCAGTAGTCAGTCAGCTTGGGGTATAACTGGATAATTCTTATCACAAACCATTAGCTAAAACTTGGCAAACACTTCCCACAGTATATCAGATTTTATCTTAAAAGTGGCTTGACGTATGCTGACTGTATTTTCTGCAGAAAATTGTATAATTGCAGATGCACAATTTCATTAACAGCTAGAGTGTAAAATACTAAAAAAGTTAAGACCCTGTAAAAATAGGTGAGTTGGCTTTATATATGAACAGTATATCTAAGCTATATAAGCCGTAAATAATCTCTGCAAACATGTTGGGAAAGCAGGTCATGTTAGAAAGGGGGAGAAGAAGCTGAATAGTGTGAAAATTTTTACACTAGTCGTTCATGTCTTGACAATGGCCACAGACCCTAAGGTGAGCTATGAATCTGAGGAATAAAGAACTAAAAAGACAGCATGGGTTACCTAATTACAAACCCTACAACTGGAGTCAGACATGTAAGAGAAATCTAGTCCAAAAAAGTTCCCAGAATTCCTGCAACATCTGTACACCATAAAATGCTTCATATTCTTGTAAAACAAAGCTAAAATATGAGCTGAAAATAAAAACCCACCAATCATGCCATACCACTGGAACACAGGATGGAGAGTGGTGGCCATTACAGTCTGTTTGCTATGACCTTTTAGCCAAGAGATGCACTCCCTCTTTAAAGTCATAAATTTAGTACAAGTTAAAAGTTTTCCTTCTGCTTTCTTACATTTTTACACAAACAGCCCTACTCTTGCAGAAATCCTCTTGTGAGGTATGATTGGTGTTTGAGGTATTTTAAACAAATTCCATGCTCTTCATCAGATCTGGTGTGTGTAGATTTTGCAGCTTCATGATCCCCCATTTATGGCAGGGATTAAAATAGCATTAAGAGAAAATACAATCAGGACTGGTTAATACTGCAGAATAAAGCAGAAGCCAGAAGAAATGGCCCTCCTCTTTTCACCTCTTAGTGACATGTCTCTAGATACTCCTTTCCTATTTGCTAAAAGCTTTAATGTAAGAAGTAATTTTATTAAGGAGATGCAAACCCCATCTTAAAACTTTTTTTAAAGAAAGTTTTTAAATGAGACAGTTCAGTTTTAAATGTCTAGGGAATGTTTCAACAACCCAGAAAACATTTGCAAGTCATCACATGAAAATAAATAAACCAGCTGATCAATTTGTGCAGAGATTTTTAATGCAAAAAAAACCCCCTCACTAATAATGAAAGTAAATGTTTTTGGCTTTCAGATTCAACAATACATTTATATTGACAAAGACAGTGAATACTCATTTAACTTCACCCTGCTTCTTTCAAGGTCACAAACATAGGTTTAAGTGTGAATCCCACAATAAAGAGCAGTAATTTGGCGTAAGTACTGGGTTTCATCAAAGCATCATTCCTGTCAAAAGGGAAAGGGGGGAAAAGAGGCCTCAGGTGGGCGTTGTCTAAAGACAAGCTTTAGAGTGTGTCTTTCCTTTTAGGGTATAACACTATTTAAATTGACAGGAACTAACATAGATGTATTTTTAGCATGTTAAACTTCTGGATTACATGCATAGTTAACATACATTTGTGGTTTGTAGCAGAACCAATAATGCACATACACAGTTATAGGTCCACCTTGAAAATCAAATGAGAAGAGGAATTCAAAATAAGGAGTACTTCTATTAACAGAAAAATTGTATCTTTGTGTGTACAACAAAAAATTAAAGTTTCTAACAAATGAGGCACTTTCTCCCCGTTCAATGACTAGATATTTTATGGGCTTGAATATTTCTGCATAAAAAAAACATTTAGAAAATTTGAATTTACTTTTATAATGAAGTGACAGTTGACCTATAGCAGCAAAGCTTTCTAATACAAACATGACCAACTATTTACTTAAGAAGCTAATAGAAGTAAGGATTAAAAAAATGGAACCAAGCTTGCATTTCCTAAATGGAGGTAACTCCTAATCATTCCATTTTTCCACCAGTGAGTTTCAGTGTAAACTGAAAAAGCCTTAATAAAAGTGTGTTATTAAAACAAATAGAATAGTATGGGTTAGTGATAGAGTTCAATGCTATAAATCTTACATACAAAAGCACCATATTGAAGATTACAATATGTGAAAGTCTGTTTCCACTCATATGAAATAAAAGTGCTCTCTTCTGTCTGTGAGAGAAAATTTCATTACCAGGGATTTTATGACAACTTGGTACTAAACAATCACTTCACAGAATGCCTTGCCTTTCTATTTATGTGTGCAGCTAACTTAAACAACTCAGCTTCTCAACTGCAAAAAAAGATAGAAAGAGAATCCACACAAAATTTCTACGTAAAATGATGTGCACTAAATGTAAATTGTATCAGCTTCATAATATTTATTACCAACTAGCAATACATTGGGAACTCCAGCCAAGCAAGATCGTAGAGCCTCATAAATACACATTGCAAATACACAATAAAAATGTGTATTGTGAAAATTCATTAAAAACTGCTCAGTACATTTCCTTAACAGATATACTTCTCCTCTCCCTATGCCCATGAAGTTTCTACTGTGCTTCTGCTCTGCAATACTTGTGCCAGATTCAGTGCAAGAAAAAGCCTCTGCATAGTGTATAGACTGATGCTGAAATGCCATTCTTTAAAACTGCCCGTTCTTAGTACTGAGAGATTCTGGCAGAGCCCTGGAAGTGATTTGGAAATAGACTCTATATGGCTATTCTTTCAGGCAAAAACTAACTAGAACTGTTCCTGTTTGAGGGTGGGGCAAGTAGCAGGACCATTAAACTCAAGAAACCTAGACTGTTTAATCAATTTACTGCCCTTTGAAAACTCCGTCCTGCCTCTGTCGCTTACCTGACACGCTGCTTGCTATCTTAGTTTCTCAGTGGCTGAATATACAGTCCACTACCTCTCAAGAACATGTTTGTCCTTTTAAAAGCATATTTTTACTTGGTTTGACTAATCAGTGACAAAATTGAAGTACAGAAGGCAAAACAATGAACTAAGGGTCAAACTGAAGTCTGAACTCCACCTAGTACTTCATCTCAGTCAGCTTCAGTGAACAACATCCATTTTCCACACAAGCATAAACCAAATCCCTCAAAATTTTAGATTTCAGATATGATTTCAGGATTTATCTAAGTAGTGGCAGTATGGACAATGAAAAGGAGTGTAAATTATGTGTCAGCACTAATATGCCTCAGAGTAGCACAAACAAGTTATATCTTCAGTAAATACCCATGAAACACTCAAGTGCATGGGAGTACATTAAATTTTGAATGACTGCAATCACATGGAGCTCTAGTTTCCCAAGTGTCTTCATGTTGGTTAATGCACTGAGTTGCCTCTTAGATCCATGATACTAAACCACACTGCTTTATCGGGACAGGGAGGTGGGATTACATTTACCAAATATATACCCTAAACACATTGTGCCTTCCCTATCAAAACCTTTCCAAACATGCTACTCAGCATGTTCAAGTGCTAGCCTAGACGGGGCTTCAGGGGAAAAGAGGCAATCATAAAGTGTGCAGTGCCCTTGCAGTGTTCTGAAGACATGCTGCCATTTTAAACCATTTTCCTTAAACATGCTACTCAGCATGTTCAAGTGTAGCCTTGATGGGGCTTCAGGGGAAAAGAGGCAATGATAAAGTGTGCAGTACCCTTGCAGTGTTCTGAAGACATGCTGCCATTTTAAACCATTTTCCTTATGGCTGCTTTTGAGCAGCTCTGCTCCAGACAATCTGCTTTCAATCCCACCTTCAAACACTGAACATCAGCTATAAACGTGCACACACCATTCTGGGATGCAGATTCAGCTGTGAGACATGCTCACAAGGCTGAGACGTGCTTGCAGCCCAAAGCCTGCAATTACTATGCATATGGACTTCCTCCTCTTTGATCACTCTTACTGTCTCCACATATTTCTTCACCCGTTTCCATTCTGTAAATTTGTAAATAAGGAGACCACACATATTCTTCACAGAGAAATTATGGTCTGTGCAAGCCCATCAAGGATGCTTTAAGAGACTCAAAGCAAAGAACACGTCAGGGTGCCCAAGACATTAAGGAACAGAAAGCTCTTCCAGTGCTTAGAGATGCAATCTTCGACAGGTTAGGCTGCTGGTTAGACACCCCGCTTCAGTTTTGTGACTCTGGCATGCCAAAACACACAAAAGAGACCACAACGCGGATATTTCTGAGCCGAACACACTCTGTATGAGTGCAGAAAACGCCTGGAATGGCATTCACTCTGGCTAGTCGATTGCATTTTCTTTACGCTCCTGCTATCTGTTGCATTGTCTCCCAGCGGAGGCTGTGTACCTCGAAGAATCTGCCCGGCCATAGTGTGAGAAGGGAATTAACACGGCCCCGATACCCGACTGAACACTACTGGAACAATTAAGCTCTTTGGACGGACCTCTGGCCTCGGCGCTCTCGGAACCCACACGGAACCCACACGCACCACCGCGCACCCACCCAAAGCTCCCCGAGGCGTCCCCAGGCGCGGGTCCGACCCGCCGCCACCAAAGGGGGCCCCACACTCACATAGAGGGAGTGCACGGCCGCGCCGTAGAAGCGCAGCGCCGTGCTCAGCTCCAGCGCCGCCGAGTGCACATCGTCCCCGGGCTCCAGCGCGGCATCGCCGCGGTCCCGGCCGTGGGGCAGCAGCGCCAGCCGCTCTGCGGGCAGCGCCAGCGCGGGCAGCGCCAGGGCCAGCAGCGCCCAGCGCGGGCAGCTCGGCGGGGCGGCCCCGGGACCCCCGCGACCGCTCCGCCTGCCCGACGGGCTGGGCTGCGGGGGTCCGCCGCGGGGGTCGCTCCTGGCCCGGGGCTTCGCCCGCGGGAGCAAAGCGGCGTACGCGCATCCCGCGGGGACCCACCCTGGGGGCGCGGGGATGGGGATAGGGATAGGGATGCTCAGCCGATTTCGGGATCAGTGTCCCTCGTGAGGCGCGAAACTCGGGAAGTTAAGTCTGTGCCGGGTCGTAGGCATCCGGCAGAGGCTTTCAAAGAACCACGGCTCTCCGCAAGGGCCAGTGGGGTTTCTGCGTTAGTTTGGAAATCCAGCAGCTGCAGTACCTCTCAACAGCCAGAGAACCGAGACCAAATACCAAAATCAACGTGAAACAAAAATATGAATCCCCATGCTGCCTTCTGAAATAATTTTGATACCAGGTGCTCATTGTCGGGGGAAATGAATAAATACATTGGAATGTGTTTCGTAAATTAACACCATCCATGTCAGAATTGCATTTGGTTGTAAAATAAAACTAAAAAATGAATAAAACAAATCTGCAAACAAAAAATTGCTGATGATATGAATACAGATAAAAAATATGGTATATGTAAATATATTACTTCTGACTATGTCTTCTTGTTTTATAGTGCAGTCCTGCTCCCTTGGAACACTCAGAAGCAACTGAAAAATGGTTATATTTCATATATTTTTCCTAAAGCTTCCAAGTGAGGACAGCAGTATTTAAGGATTAAATCTTGGTCAGCAAAGTATATGCTGTGATATGTCCACAGAATGTTTACAGCAGATAATCATCTGAGGAAAGGCAGCCAAAATGCTACCTACATGCTTTTTGCATGGCTTTTTACTTTTCTTTAAATGCCTGCACCTTTTAATTTTTTTTTTTCCCCTTGTAAGAAAGTGTGATTTTACATTTGGCAAATTGCAAGAGCAAAAGACATTCCTGGGTAGAGCTATAACCATGCCAGCATAAAGGAGATAAGGATAAACATATCTAATCACTATTATCACTAGCATCTCTTTACTCTTGGGTTCCGTATGTCAATGAAAACAGTCACTGAGACAAAGTAGTGTGGAGGTCCAGAAGGAAGATGAGTCTGCTCTCCTTGAGTTCTCGCTGTCCTTTCACCTGTGACTTCTCTCCATATTTACAGAGCCTCTAAGACAATAACTGGTGGATTCACGGAGTCCACCATTTATACTTATCCAGGAACCACTGCCAAAAGAGCAGCCTTTTGGCTGGATCACCTCCATATCTGAGCATAGACATACACACAAAGATGACTCAAAATCCAACTAAGGTACCTTTCTCTACATTTGACAATCAATACTTAACCACAAGCCAACTGTAACTTCTTATACACATTGTATGTGTGCACTGGCATACCACCAGCTGCCTTCACCACAAAATCATCTTCCTATTACAAACCTGTCCCCCCAGCATAAAATCATCTTCCAAATTTGCAGAACCTAAAGGTTCTCGTGCTTGTGCAACACAGCTCCACAGCAAAGAAAAAGCCTAAATTAACCCCCATGGTAACACATACACATTCACAAGAGCATCATTTTTGTTAGGCTTAATGTTTTCCACAGGCACATTTACTACAACAGTAAGACTGAAAAAAGGAAGACATAAGCAAAACAAGAAGAAGATCCTGAGGTGGTAACATTTTCCTGTCAGATTTACATGGTTTCCTAGTATTATGTCCAGAATTTGAAGGATAGGGACTACTGAGAAGCTAGAAACTTAATGTAGTAAATTTGAAATAGATTTGAAGGCCCAAGAGTTAAGTATCTTCATCTGCATGTTTAAAACATGGGGTAATAGCCATGCTAGGGTAAACCCTTTGTCCATTAGTCAGCATATTGGGATTGTTTAGTCTATACTTACCTTAAGAGGATTGCAATATTTCTGCTGTAGCTGTAAATTTGCCTTCTATACAGCTACCACTGTGAGGAGTTTTAAGCATTGTTAGTTCTAATACAAGTAAATAAGTTTCCCATTGTCCTTTCTAGCATCTTCAATAAGGACCTAAAAGGGGGGTGGAAAAGCATGTTTGCTTATATTGTAATTAATTGGAAGATATTAATTGCTAACTCCATCCAGAAAGGAGAATGCAAAAGATTTCAACAAGATTTAAGAATGGAAGGAAAGTATTTAAATGCAAACTGGAATGTCCCAATTGAAAAAGACCTTCTGGAAGGTCTTTCATAGCTGATAAATACCAAGAACTCCACATTTCCATTGGATATTAAATGAGATATGGCAGCAGTTTACAAAGCAACAGTATTCCCTGAACAGCCACTGAGATCCTGAACAACAAATGAGCTGGGTTCATTTTGTTACAAGGAGGTGACATTTTCTAAAGGTGTATAATGACACTGCTTTTCCAGAGATTGCTTGTGAGATCAGAGGTGTCACAGAAAATTCACCACTGGAAGGAATTCAGACTGAAACCAAAAATAAAGATCAGGGGACAAAAGGAAATTGCTAAAGAACTGAACATACATACTTGACTAAATTATACTGAAGATATTTGATTAAGATCATGCTTCAAAAACATGGAGCATCTTCACTCAAATATCTGAAGAGTGGCACCAAACAGATGGAGGAATTAAGGTGAGTTTGAGGATTACAGGTGACTAGGACATTGAAATAACTAAAAGAAATAACTAAAGAAACCATGTATCAGCAAATGCTTCCTTCCCATGGGGGCTATTTTCAGATAAATCATAGATTAGGCATAGTGGAAGTAGAATGATATAAATCTTTAAGAAGTCATCACTAGATTGGTCAGATCACTAAACAATAGACCTTAAAGACTAATTCTGTATTTAACAATTAATTGAGACAGTCCAGCTGATCTGACTTGACTTTCTATGTTCATACAGTATTAAAATAGCTCACAGATACACACATATTTGTATTTGAGCATTTCACTGCCTAAATGTGAGGAGATTTGGAAAAGGGGATACAGATATGGAGAAGCCTGACCTTCTCAAGCCCCTCCCCAGGTTTCATTAACAGAGAAAATGGAGCTAGTGTTCCCTTTGCTGGCATGACTGTAAGGAGTAAGGGAAGTAATGCCCTGGGCCTCCCATGATGATGTTCTGCTGTCCAGTGACAACAAAGCATTTTAGCAGATGGATCAAAGGACAGAGTAACCACGTAGTCATAAACTGGAGAGAACTGAGTATTTGGGATATTGGCAGGAAAGAATAGTACTGAGGTCTGTTGAGAAGGAGCATTTTTTAGAGAGACAAGGTCATGGGAATCAGAGAGTCACAAGCAAAGGCAAGGCTCACAGGAAGATCATGGAGAGCACATCATAAATTCAAATCACTCTGTCTTAGAACTTAATGTTCATTGTTCACTAGAGCGGAACACGGTGAGATTCCTTCTGTAACTCTACATGAGCCAGTGTCACCAGGCAGGGCCCATAACTCTGGAGCATCTTCAAAAAAAAAATTGTATTTTGCAGCACAACTCTCTACAGAAAGAAACTAATTCTGAGGCACTCTTAGATGCTTTTGAGAAGAGATTCACATGAATGGCAACATTCGTTCTTGGCCTCTGCATTAGGGCAGAGTGTAGAAGATTGTAGAATCCCTCCTTTTTCTCTCATGCAGAGCTACTGCAGGGCAACAAAAGGGGAGCAACACTGCAGGACAATCTTCTTGGAAACTCATATCCTGTTCTGGAGAACACCTGGGCAAGAATGGGGATGTGCTAACACTTGGCCAAGGCCAATAGCGTGGTCAGTACAGGAGAGCTACACTGCTGTAATATAAGGCTACAGGGCTGCAGCAGATTCCTGCCCCAGAGCAGGGCAAGGAACATGGGAGATACAGAAGTTCTTAGAGCCTTCCTAGGTCTGGTGCAAGGAGACACTTTGTATTTCTGGGGTTGTCTTAATTTGTTTCTATCTCTCGTTATTAGAGCTGGTAACTATATTAATAGCGGACAGAAAAAAACCTCAAAGAGGAAGTAATACTTGTATAGAGTCATGAACACTTTTTTTCATGCCAATTTAACATTTAGGAAAAATTCGATGGAAAATGGAACAGAAAAATATTAGCACTGTAAAATGGCTAGACAAAAAAAGTAGCCTTACAATCCTCCCACCTGACATGTAGTCATATGAAAAACATGACTTCTTTTTAATATGTTTATTTTAAAAATATCTTTCTTACATCCTAATGTTTGATCTCTTTCAAGAACAGATTCTCTAATCCAGTAAGAATTCTTGAACTTCTCTGTAGTAAGAGAGAATTGTAACAGGGCCAGACAATATATAATTAGTCTTATATTTAAATATTCAGCTCAGCAGTAACTACTACATCTACTCCAAGTCTTACTGTTTTGTTATTATCTAAAAGTTTTTGCTTTATGCCATAAAAGTCTGCAAACAGACAATAAAAATTACTTCAGAGTTTTAAAAAATGCAGTGAAGACAGGAAGACAAAATGTATGATCATTTTCTCATACACATAAAAACCAGTTACAATATGAAGAAACATTGTTTTTCAAACAATGGGAATGGGATGAGGAAAGCCAATTTGAATGGGACAGGAAGACAGCTATGGAAAAGGTATCATTTACCACCTATCTTCCCCAAGACTAAAGAAATAATTACTCCAACCCACTGATAATTGTGTCAGATTTCAGAAAAGAGATATTACACACAGGGAAAATATATATCCTTGTAGTCTGATAAAGTATTTAGTATTGTATTAGTATTTAGTACATCTCAAGTTAAACCACTACTTCAGATTGAATGTGCACCCAAACCAAAGGCAATGATAAATGTTGTATTCTCTTTCATGTGGCATCCAGATTTTCACTGTGAATTGCAGGTGCAGATGTAACAAATAAAAAATAGATGCCACATTGAGTCTCAGCAGCAAAGCTTCTAGATGACAATCAGAAAGTAAAGAGAGGCCAAGCACAGATCTGATGCTTGTGCTGGCTGGAAATTCTCTAACAAATTTTTACATCCTCAACTTTTTTACAAACATTCAGAAAGGCTACTAAAGTCTGAAACACTGAAACACAGTCTTTACTGTGACAGACAAGTTACTCTCTCACATCAGCTTCTTGTGTTTGCAGAGCACCCAGCCAGCC